CGAGCTGCCCTCTCCTGCCCGCTCGCAGGCCTCTAGGTGATGCTACTAGTGCCCAGAGAGGGGCAGCTTTCAGCCAGGCTTTCTGATCCACCTCCCCTCCAAGTTCCAAAACCCTGCAGACTTGAAACAGCAGCACTTGCAGTGAGTTGCTCTGAGGTTTGGCCAGGATGGCCCGGCCCACAGCGCCGCCTGGTGGTCAGTGATTCCACGCAGGTCAGGGCTCCCCGCCAGGCAGGAGGGCGCATGACTATTAATAATTTCAGATTCCTGATCACAGCCCCCTCATGAACATCTGTTTTACGGTTTACATCGTTCTCACACATCCAATTGCCAGGGAAGAAAGATGGGAGAGGAGGAAAAACATAAGAGGAAAGAATATAAAAATAAACAGTCTAGCTCACAGACATGTATTATAGGACAAAGCGCGGGGGGCGGGGTGGGGGGAAGCTAGGAAGGAAAGAAAACAGAGGGGAAAGAGACCAAAATAATCAAGAAAAAGAGAGAAATAAAGGGGGGAAAAAAGTTTGACCAAGAAAAAGAGAAAATATCCACACCAAGTCAGGCCAAGCCCAGACCAGAAGGGCAGTGGACACGACCCATATTGCAGACAGTCTCAGCCACTGCTGCCTCCGTCCCAAGGGTGTGCACGCAGAACAAGTGTTTGGGTGGGAGGCCAGGCAGGCAGGAGCTCAACCCTCAAGCCCTGGAAACCACAAGCTCCGGACAGGACACGATCCCTGGCGCCACCTGCTGGACAGATGGGGTACCACGTTTATCCCCAGGAAGTTAGAGTTGGATGCAAATGTCTCCATTTCTCAGAGAAGGAAACTGAGGCTGCAAGAGAGACGGTGACTTGTTAAGAGATGGTCGCTCAGCAAGCACAGCAGCCTGCCAGGTAGAGATGTCTGAAGACGTCTGACCTCAAAAGTCTCAGCCCAGGTCTCTCCCCGTCCCCAACAATCCAGCCCAGTCCGAGAACAAGGCCAGGTGCAGAGCGTGTGGTTATAGGCATGTGCTTTGGCCACACGCAGCTAGGGTGTGGGTTCCTGGCCCTGACAGTGATGAGCCTTCTTTTTTTGTTGTTTATCAGTGGTTCACTGACACCCAGCACTGGGCCAGACCTGGGACAGAGCAGACAGCATGGATGTGACTCCTGCTCCCAGGGTGCTTCACTGATGGTGGAGAATGGTAAATATATAAGCAGTTACATTTAGATAAAATCACAAAGTGGCCAACACACTCCATACCACCTTTGGCTTTCCGAGTGGCCCCCCACACAGCCCACACCAAGGGACCGTATCCAAGTCAGCTCCGTTTGACAAGTGGAGAAACTGAGAAGCAGGGGGAGCAGAGAACCGGGGGTCAAGAGACTCACCAGCTGCAGGGATTCACCCATCTCTTGATGCTCCGTTGGTCAGCGCAGCCACTCTTGGTCACCAGCTCCTCCCTCAGCCAACATCGCCATGGCAACGCCAGAGCCAAAGATCTGGAGATTCAGGAGGCCAGCACTGGCCAAGCTCGCCCAGGCAGGGCCATCGCGGAGATGAGCAATCAGGTAAAGGAGTGTGTTAGGCCGGATGGGAGATGGAAAACTGACTTTGCTCAAAGGCAGCGGCCACGACCCAGCTTCAGGTGATATGTGACCAGGCAGGTCACATGGTCCCACAAGGGCCACAGGGACCAGAGCATCTGAATTTTCAAAAGAAACCCAGATTCAGGATTTGGAAGTGAAAGCTGCTGGTTCTTGAGTGTCTAATTCAAAATTAGGAAAACATCAGGAAAACAAAAACAAACCACATCAGCTTCCAAGTTTCAGCTTGCAAGTTCAAGACGTCTGGTCATTTACAAAACACCCCTTCTCTGTCAGCAGGCCTTCATGCTCCACTTTGTACCAAGAAAAGCCTTCCAGAGCAAGAAACAGCCCCAGGCTTCTACCCCATTTGCTGATGCAGCTCTGTTGTCTGAGAAGGGATGTGACTTGTTCAAGGCTGAAGAGACCTTAATTCTCAGTTCCAAACCAAAGCTGCCGTGGCCATCACTGCAGGAGAACTCACTCATCTCACTGCAGGCCCTCTGGGTGCAGAAAAGGACACTTCTGCTTCCTGTAAGCGTCTGCCTGGAGGAAGGGGGCAAATCCTCCCTGTTGACCCCAAATATATATCAAGGTGAAGGCTCTCCCCTTAGAGATTTTCCCGGGATCCAACTACAGGCTTCATATAATTCAAGTAATCAGTCCATCACTGTGCCCCAAATCCCACCAGGATCTACTCTCATCTATTACATTGTTGAGTCTTTCGAAACCTGTAATTGAAAGACACAAGGCTCTCTTTCCAGGAGGGACCCAGAGCCTGGGTCTGGAGAGAATAAGCTCTGAGAGTTTGGAAGGAAAAGAGATGAAAAAAGAAGGGGCTCGGTCCAAAACGGCAGGACTCAGGGGAGGCCCAAGCACACTCATGAGTGAGGGCTTCCAGAAGGCACCCTCAAAGAAGCCCTTCATTGAGATCAGTGTTTTCCAAAGTGTGGGAAAGGAGGGGAGACAGAGAGATGGGGAAGGAAGGAACAGGGTAGGGGGGAGGGAGGGAGACGGAGAAAGGCAAGGGGCAGACGATTCAGGCCTGAGGATTAAATTTCTCTGCCTGGGCAGACAGACCCAGGCAGCTTCATAAAGACGGCTCAGAGCCTGGGCGGGTGAGAACCCGCGGACAGCCTTGGGACCTAGACCACAGGACCCCGTGTGCGGGTACCATGTCTGCATGGCTCTGTTCTGATTGGCCCGTGTGTGGCCAGCGTGAATTCTGATTGGCCAGGAACCAGCCAACCACCTGTTGAGCACTTGGAACTCCACTCCTGTGGGATTCCAGACCGAATGGACCTCGCAGGTTGCGGTGATGGATGGATGCTCATCCCTTAGACCAGCCGGATGGCCCATCACTCAGACCACCCTGATCCGAGGGCACACGTGAGACAGGGAGTCCTGGCATGACAGCAGCAGGAGGCAAGGGAATGACCATTTTTCCACCATCACACTGAAATGAGTACTCAGAACCCAAAACAAAGGCGAACTACACATACATAAAGACAGTGATTTTCTTGGCGCATCTGAGATGCAGACCCACCGCGCGATCTCGGGTAGTCCTCACCACTCCCCCGCAGGGAACATATACATACTGCCCTCATTTTAGGAGGAAACTGAGGTTCAGTGTGCTAACTCATGGTACCGATGGAACCGGCCTCCGCGCCATCTTCACAGCAGTTGCTCACTCCGCCTGTGACACGTGCAGACCCAACCACCCCCAGGCCACCAGGTTCAGCCCCGAAGGAACCCACCACAGATCAGGATCTTTGTATTATAAACCAACTTTTAATAATAATAAAAAAATCTATCATGAATTGAATGAGAAGATCTGTACATTGTAAAGTAAACCAGTGCACAACACCCTTGCCCGCAGGGAACCCTCTCCCTTTCTGACACGGTGTCCTCGTTTGTACCAGGCCACCTCTGCTCAGCAACAAGCTCACCTCTTGCAATCGGATGCAGGGTGGCAAGAGGGGGAAGGTGACTCCTGGGGGTGCAGGAAGCCAAGATGTTGGTGCAGCTTCAAGCCTGCGGGACAGAGGAAAACCTACACCTGATCTCACCCATCAGCCAAGGCTGGAAAGACATTTCCCTGCTGGCGACAGGAGGTGGAGGCGACAAACTCTGGGGGGAAGGGGGCCGGACAGCGGGGTAGATCTTGTGTAGGTTCCTGTGCCCAGGTGGGCAGGGTCGCTTCCGCTCTCTCTGGCCGGCTGAGAAGTCCCAAATGCCCTGCTGCTGCCTTGCTCTGGATTAACATTAAAAAATAAATTACAGAAGCCGCCTCTCAGGATGTCTCAGCAGCCCGTCTACCACCGAGGACACACACTGGTGTGGGACTGCCTCTCCAGTGGATGGTTCAACCCCCTCCAGCCCCCAGGCCTGGCCTAGCCACCTCTGAAACCCTTGGAGCCAGTCATTCAAAAAACAAAGTAATTCACCCTAATACAGGCCAACGGCTAGAGAACTGAGGGTGGGTGGGGAAAGGAACCCTAGTTGATATCTGTAAGCAATATCTTAAGACCCTAATACTAAAAAAGATGAAATACATTTCTTTCATTTTCAATAATTTAGTTTTTTTTTTCTTTTTTTAGTAGAACTGGGAAAAGTTGTCAATACTACTTTATGTTGGTCCCCTGTTAGACAATATAGCTTTCTTTGAAATTTAAAATGCAAATATATACTCACACAACCTGGGGGGCGGGAGGCGGAAATCTCAACACAACCAACGACAACATAAAAATCCCAAAATAAACCATAGAGAGTTCACGCCATATAAATAAAGTTGGGGCAAGTCTTGTGCCCTGGGCTGATGGCTCCAGTTCCAATGGCGTTGATAGAGTAAGCCAGGGTGGCTTTCAACTGTCCTCTTGGTAATAAGTGTTGTGCCCTGTCCCTCTGTCTTTCCCGGCAGAGGTCTGGCTTTTCTGAGTCCATTGGGGAGATTAGTACAGGGTTAGAGGGGGATCTGGAAGCTAAGGTGAGGAAGAGACACGTGTGGTCACCTGGAATGTGGACTTAAAGGAAACCAGGGGTTTCCAAAGTGCAGGTTGAGTCATCCCAAGGGAGTTGGGGCCACGGGCCTCCAGCTGCGGCGCCCCTGACGTCTCCCCTGTGTCCTGGGGACTTCAGGACAGGAGCGCAGGCCCTGGAGGCACCCATCAGTTCTGTGGGTCCCCAGGACCCCCTCTGGATTCTGGCAGAACTGTGGAGAACGTGCCGGCCCAGGGCCAATCGCCAGCTCATCCACGTGTGGGGGCACCATTTATCCTCCCAGGAGGTGACGTGATGGAGGAGGCCGGGCAGATCTCGAGGCAGGCGGAGCGGAGGCCTCAGGCCAGCTCTGGAGAAAGCCGCATGGCCCCCTGTGTCCTTGCAAACCCCGGCTCCAGAGGATGCGGCCAGGCACCAGGCACCTCGGCGTTTAGAGGTCTCCGTCCACCGGCGGCTGGCAGAGGCGGTAGAGCCTGGTGGATGGAGGTGAAGAGGATGAGGGGCAGCCAAGGCCTGTCATTACTGTCATCGCAGCATGTGATTTATGTGAATGTGCAGTCATGCCCAGAAAGCAAAACTCAGCAGGTGTAAAAAGATGCAGAGTGAAAAATTATCGCGGTCGCCCACACTCTCCTCCAGCAGTCCAGTCCCCGCCCCCCAGCAGTCTTGCTCCCTCCAGACCGGCAAGGGGTTTACAAATACAGACGCAAACACGTGCACCCGTTTGCGTGCCAAGATATGCGTGTGGCTGTGTGATTACACGTGCGGGTGTCTGCGCATTTTTCCACACTACTGGTGGCCAAGCAGACCCAGCACTCTGCCCCTGGAGTTTTCCATTTAATGTATCTTGGGGGCCTCTCCCTGTAGCACGTGCAGACCTGCCTTGGGTTTCTTTCTGGACTGGGAGGATTCTGAGCCCCACCTTCAAGTAAGGAGCCACTAAGAGGTTTCAAGCAGCAGACAGCATATATGCTGTGTGAGGAGGATGGCAGGGGGACCAGACAGGAGGTGGCCACAGAGACAAGACAGGGAAGCCGGAAGGCGCAGGGGTCGGGAAGGGGACGGCCTGGGCTCAGAAGGGCTGCTCTCTTTCTGTGCGTTAGCTGTGTGACCTCGGACAAGACACTTCACCTCTCTGGGCCTCGCAGTCCCCACTGCCCACGGCAGATAACACGAGGACCTTGCTCACAGAGTTGTTGTTTAAGCAAATCAGTCAATATAGGTAAAGAGATGGGAATGGTGCCTGGAGCAGGGGAAGTGACATAGAAAAGCCTTTAAGGGACTTCCCTGGTGGTCCCGTGGCTGGGACTCCACACTCCTAATGCAGGGGGCCCAGGTTCAGTCCCTAGTAGGGGAACTAGATCCCACACACCGCAACCAGGAACACGCAACTAAGAATCTCGCACGCCACAACTAAAGATCCCGCCTACCACGATGAGGATTCCGCACACTGCAACTAAGAACTGGGGCAGCCAATACATAAAAAATAAAGAAATAAATTTTGAAGAATATTTAAAAGCAACATGGGCCAAGAGTGTAGGCAAACTAATGGAACACATAGATCTGTATGAGTTCTTGTATCGCTCCAACACCGTTTCCTGGTCTTGACAATGTCCTGTGATTACATGAGACATTATCCTGGGGGGGGTGGGGTAGGGGGAAGGGGTTGCTGCACTGAAGGACCCCTGAAAACTCCGTAGTATTTTTCTAACTTCTTGTGGTCAAACTATTTCAAAATAAACAGTTATTTTAAAAGTGTGGGCCGATGTCAATAGCAAATCACCACAGTGTGGATGGAGAGAGAAGATGCACTAAAATGAATTATTCCCAGGACAGGGGGCTGCGCACAGTGCTATGAGAAAGTGTGACACTGACTCAGAGACGATGGGGCTGTGAGGACAGGAAGAAGCAGGTGAGCTGAGGGCTCTGAGGATAGTAGAGAAGCAGCAGTGTGTGAGCAAGTTGCAGGGGGCACACAGATCCTCATTGCCCCATGGTTCACTCTGGGGCCTGGCCTCAATTTCCCAGCCAAAGTGGGAGCCCTGGAAGGTAACAAACTAAGTCGTATTTGCTGTTTCCCAAAGGGGATCCCATGAACGAGAGGGGAAGCCCCACCTGAATGTCAGAAGGGTCTGTCTGGGGTGAGGCCAACCCCAGGGAAGGGAGCAGAGGGAAGGAGAAGGTGGGGGACAGCCACTCACCGCGGAGCGCCCTGGGGCACCTGGTCCTTGACCCGGAGGTTTTTGGCCAAAATCTCCACCCTGGGGCCCTGAGAAGAGAGAACAGTGAGGGCCCAGCTGTCTCTTCATTGAGCGCAGGGCGCCTGAGGAAGTGTGTGGGTGGGATGAGGTGGGGTGAGGGTGACTGGGAGATCCCCAGAAGCGAAGATCTGTAGCCCCTCCAGAGGGGACACAGTCATCAGCCCCATCCCCAGACGGCCCCTCATCCCACCCGGGCTGTGAGCCCACCACACCCAGGCCTGGGCGCCTCCCCTGCAGCCTTCCGGGGCCCTGGGGCCTGGACGCCCCACCTGCTTCCGCATGATGTCCGTGGCCTGCATGATGCACTTGGGCAGCAGCCCGTGGCTCCGCGCCAGAATGGCCGCTTGCTCCAGGGAGAGGCTCAGGGTGCTCCTGCAGTGGGGTGGCAAGGGAAGGGGGTGAGACGGAGGCGACGTCCTGCCCCCCACAACCCCCAAGACCCCGATCGGAGCGGCAGGGACAACGGACAGAAGCGAGAGAGTGGTCCAGCCTTGCCCCAACCAAGACGCGTGCCCATTCCTGCCCGTGTTCTATGGATGCTCCAGCAGAACCAGGCGGCTCAGCTGCTTGGTCACACCAACCAGAGTCAGGGGGCTGGGAAGCTCAGCAGCTCTCCCAGGACCACCTTCCCCTGAAGCCTCATCTCACAGTGGGCAAACTGAGGCCAAGAGTGGGCCGTAGCCTTGTCTGGACTCAACAGGCAGCGAAAGAACCAGGATTCGAAGCAGGCCTCCAGTCTCCCATCCTGCGGCCCTACCCCGCCCAGAGGCCCGCCCAGCCCCTTCCGCCGCCCCCCCCACCCGCTGTGACTGCGCACCTCTGCATGCCTGTGCGGCACATGGCGATCTGGCAGGCCCCCAGGCGGTAGCAGAGCTCGGAGGAGATGGGGATGAGGCCGGTGCCCAGGCTCCCGGCGGCACCAGGCTTGGGGTGGACGAAGGACTTCATGAGGCGGCAGAGCTCGTCCAGGGCGTTGATGGGGCGAATCAGCTGCGAGGTACACATGCCCAGGTGGTCAGAGGCCGCCCCCCACCCCGCCTTCCGCCCCAGGCTTCACCTCTGATCAAGCTCCATCACAGCAGCTGTCTTCCCCACTCTGTCACAGGAGTGTCTGAGCCAGGACTCTTCCACGACCCCTGCGGCTGCCCCATAAGCTGGCATTCGGCACTCACAATATGTTTCAGACCTCACCCTCCCATCTAATTCTCTTCACCTGCACAGGTGAAGCCAAGAGCCATGCCCCTCCCTGTCCTCTCTACACAGCAGCCCCTCCCCGGGAACAGTCCGTGCCCCCCCACCCCCCCCACCTCCCCCCCGGCTTGTCGAGCATTGCCAATGCAGGCACAGAACTCTGGCCAAGGCTTTCTGTGTTGTCTTAAGACTCTGCCAACAGACTACAAACTCCCAAAGGGCCGTGCCCGCCCCATCTCCTGGAGCCCCAGCCTCACAATCTGAGGCCAGGAGCCCCCATAGTACCGTCAAAATTGAGGCCCAATAGTGCCTGGGCAGAGGGAGAGAGGCCTGGAGCATGCAGGGGATGGGGTGGGTCGGGGGAAGAGGGGGTGGGCACAGCCCCTAGAAGGCTGAGTGTGACACAGGAACGTGGCTGGGAACAGCCAGATCTTTCCATTGCTCAGGATGAGCCAGAAGCCTCCGTTTTATGGGAAATCTTTTGACTTTTAAATGTTGGCAACAAATTGGAAACAAACAAAAAGAAGACTTCATGGCCATATCCAGCATGGGGCTCCAGCCCCAGAGCAATGCTGCAAGGAGTCAGTGCCAGGGAGAACCCATCATCTAAAGAATTCTAAAAGCGGGTCAGGGAGAAATGGGAATTTCTAGAATGGGGAGGGTTCTGGAGACCGCAGGGGACTTCCTGGAGCAGGGACCTCAGAGGCAGTGTCCCAGCCAGCATTCTGGCTGGGGTGTGACCCTGGTCCCTGTCCGACCCGGCGAACCCCCAGGCCTGCCCAGGTTCCACGGCAGGTGAGGGACGAGAGGACACACCTGGTCTATCTTCACCGCCGTGGTGCTGGCATCCGTGGGCAGGTTAGACCGTTCCAGGTAAAATGCCCTGAAAGAGAAGAGACGTGTGAGGGCGGGGCCGCCACACGCACCATCCCATCCCCTTCTCCCACCCTGCCCCACCACAGCCGCAGCCTCTCTGCCTCCCAACAACTCCAGGAAACAAATCAGGGAGCGTAGCGGATACAGCTCTCCATGCCCACAGTCAGCTGTTCCTCCAACAGCCCAGGAGGAAGCAGGAAGGGTCCTCAAATGCCACCTCCCCGCACCGCCCACCTGAATCAGCGCCCCACTCCCTCTCCCATGCCGGTCTCTCCGGCAGACACCAGCATCACTTGACACCTCACACTGCTCTGCGTACTGGTTCACTGCTCACCTCCCCTTCTAGAACAGCACTCAGCCAACTTCTGTAAAGGGCCAAACAGCTGACATTTTAAGCTGTGTGGACCAGGCTGTCTCTCTAGAGAGGCTACGCAGCTCTGCTGTTGCAGCGCAAAAGCAGCCATAGACGATACATACATGGATGAACGTGGCTGTGTGCTAATAAAACTTTATTGACAAAACGGGGTGGTGGGGGCCAGGGGCCATGGCTGCTCTAGAATCTACACTCCATGAAGAACAGGCTCTGTTCAGTCACTGCTGACTTCTAAGCAAGCACCCAGAACAGAGCCCGGCCCACGGAAGGTCTCAACTGACAGGTGCTGAAGGAAGGGACGAATGCAGATCACAGAGACCATATTTTAAATATTCAGCAAACGGCAGAGAACAGACTGATGGCATCGACTGATCCAAAGAGATGCCCGTTGTAATAACAGAGATGAATGTTCTCCCTGCGCAGACAAATGAAAGTGTCGTTCTCCCATTTCCGAACGGTAACGCTGGGCTAGGCCCCCCGTACCACACCCTGACACCCTGATCTCCTGCTTCTCGGCCCTCCTTCTTCATGGAGGGAGAAGTGAGGCGGAAGGAGGAAGGGGCCAGAGTGGGGGCAGCAGAAGTGGGGCTCCTTCCTTGGGCCCAAGTCTTCCTCCTGGTGAATGTGACCCCTACTCCCCTCTTCTCCTTGAGGGCCTCCTCTGAGCAGGGCCAAGGCCCTGGGGTCACACCCTTCACTCACAGGCTCAAGGATTCTAGGGCCCCTGTCACAGCTCCCTCCCCCATGCAGAATGAAACAGGCATCTCCTCCCAGCTGGCAGGACCTGCTACGAAGCCAAGCAGACCCAGTTCAAAGCTCAGCTCAGCCACTCTCTAGCTGTGGTCTTGGGCAAGCTGGGTGTGCTCCCTGGGCCTCAGTTTCCCTCATCTGTAAAATGGGTTAGAAAGACAACCACTGTGAGAATCTGAGGAGCGCGTGTAGGCAGAGGGACTGACACACAGCAGGTGCTCAAGAAAGAGCACTGTGCCCGCCCGGGCACTGGGGGCGCTCTGGTGCCTTCCACGCGAAGGCCCCCTCCAGGTGACAGCGTCCAGGATCCTGGCCCCAACGGGAGACCCACGCCGGTACCTGAGTTTGCGGTAGTACTGCTGAACCTTTTCCAGAGACTGGGCGTTGATCTCCTGCTGCAAATCTTCCGCAGCCTGGCTGCCTGGAGGAGGTGAGCCCTCCATGTTCTCCAGAGCTGTGAAGGGAGATGAGCGAGGCAGGTGCTTGGCTCCCCATGGGCACAGCTGTCCCCCCGAGGGCACCCCGTGGCCCGTCTCCGAGCTCACCTTTCGTGAAGAGCACGGTGTGCAGCCTCAGGCTGGCCCCGCTCTCCAGGCGGGACGGCAGCTTGGAGAAGTGGTAGCTGTCCAGGTAGAGGACGACCTTCGGCGCCTGCCGGCTGCCCTCGATATGGTAAAAGACATTGGTGTCTGTGGGGAGACATGGTGGGCCGGGGACGCGGCTGTGAGGACTGCTTCAGAAGACCCTCCTTCAGGCCCCACTGACCTACTGAGACCCCAGAGCCGCAGCCACAGGCCTCCCTGCCCTCCCGCCCGGACAGGGGCGCCTGAGACAGCCCATCGCCCCATGCTCAGAGGAGCAGCCTCTGACCTCCCTTTCACCTCCCTCAGCAGGTCTGTTCCCACTGCTTAATTCTTAGACCTGACACTGATTCTGTCCAGCTGGGGGGCTGTCCACATTTGTCTTCAGAGCCTCAGCAAGGCTCCTTGCACCCTCGCCTGGCAGCCCAGTGTCTCCACCGGGCAAGAGCTGCCCTCACACAGCACCTGCATCCTGTATACACCCACAGGGAAGAGGACGTGGCAGGGGTGGCCATCCCCGCCTAGACCCTAGCACCCCATCCCGTGCCCGTGGCAGACATCACTAATCAATCGGTAATCCTCTCTGAGCCCAACTTGGCCTCTAGACAGGCAGCCACTGTCAACCAGTTCCAACAGGTACCCAAAACGAAACCCACTGTCCAACTAGACTCCAGTCCACATATTCTCAACAGGGTTATACTGCCTCCAAGAAGGTAAAAACTGGTTCTTATGGGGAAGGCAAAAAAACATTACTCTTTTCATGTATAAAGCACAGACATACATACAATACCTAGACGGATATATAGTATATCCATCATACTAAGCTTTCACGGGGGTGTGTGAGTGAAGTCGCTCAGTCGTGTCCGACTCTTTGCGACCCCATGGACTGTACCCTGCCAGGCTCCTCCCTCCATGGGATTTTCCAGGCAAGAGTACTAGAGTGGGTTGCCATTTCCTTCTCTAGGGGATCTCCCTGACCCAGGGATCGAACCTGGGTCTCCTGCACTGCAGGCAGACTCTTTACCATCTGAACCACCAGGGAAGCCCCACGGGGGTGTGTGGCAATTAGCAAAAAATTGTCTAAACAGGCTCCTCGGGGAAGTGATAAAAAATAACAATAACAACAACAACAAAAAAGGACCAGTGGTTCCCAAACTCTGCTGCTGCTGTTCAGTTGCTAAGTCATGTCCAACTCTCTGTGGCCCCACACAGGCTCCTAGGTCCTCCACTAGCTCCGGAGATGGCTCAAATTCGTGTCCAGGTCCTCAAACGAGCATGCTCCAAAATCCCTAGGAGGGCTTACTAACACACAGACTTCTAGGCTCTGCTTCCAGTTCTGCATTCAGGAGGCCTGGATGGGGCCCAGGATTAGGCTTTCTAACAGTCCTCCAGATGCTGGTCCAGGGATCGCAGAGAACAGTGGCTCTCCGTCCCAGCTGCACATTTAAGTCTCCTGGAAAACTTGGCTAGAATCCCAATGTCCAGGATTCACCCCACAGACTGAATCCGAATCGCCAGGGCTGGCAGTGGGAACAAGCCTCAGTATCTGAAAAGCTCCCTGGGTGATCCCAGTGCAGTCAGGGCTGAGACTAAGCTAGACTGTGAGCTCCACGAGGGCAGAAACCATGGCCACGTCTCTCTCCACTGCAGCCCCAGAACCTAAAACTGAGCCTGACACACAGGATGTGCTCGTAATTACAGGTATGTGGATAGATGGATGGGGGGTGGACAGATGGGGTGAATGGATGCGTGGGTGGGTGGATGGATGAGTACATTAATGAATGGATGAGTGGATGGGCAAGCAGAAAGATGGGGGGAGGGAGAGAGAAAGAAAGGAAAGAAGAGAATTATGGTGTTAAGTTCTTAGAAAATCTTAACACATCTTCATTCCAAAGAAGGGTATCTCTAGCAGTTTTCAGTAAGAACTGCGTACTGGCTGTATTTCCCTCCTAAGTGCTGTTGGAGATGGCTGGGTTTATATGAAACGAGACCCTCTTCTTCCACGTATGTTGGGAGCAGGTGATTTGAAAGCACTGGGTCCCAGGTCAATCTTAGGCAGCTGGCCTGGTGGTGGAGGGAGGGGCAGGGTGACCCCAGAGCAGTCCCTTCCACCCCAGAACCCCGAATCTCTCAGTGGGGGTGGCAAGAATCACTCACTGGCCACATAGTTCTCGTCCAGCTGCTTGAAGGAGAAGGTGACGTTGTCCAGCTCCGAGAGGGTCACCCAGATGTCCTCCAGCATGGTCCGTTCCTCTTTCTGCAGGAGGAAGACAGGGTGGAGGAGTCTCAGATCCCACCCCTGCCCCGGGTTTTATTTCAAGATGCTGCAATTCAACTCTGGTTGACACACCAGGCTGTGGCCCTTCCAGGCAGGAGGTCCCATGCAGGGCTCTCCAGGGCTGGACACGAGATCACGTTCACTCCAGGCCTGTCCCGCCTCTTTCGGGTCAGAGCCCACCTCTGCTCCAATGTGCCGGGTGGGCCTCTTTCCCGAGCCCTCCCACCAATCCCACTGAACCGTTGCAACCCAGCACCCAGTTCAGAGCCTGCACATCTTGTCGACTGGTGAGTTAACACACTGGGTCCCGGTGAACTCATCTGAGAGGGGGGAAGTGAGGGCTGGGTGTTCAGATCCAGAAATAAGTGAGAAGGGATCTGCCATCAGGCGGGTGCCAGTCTGCAGCATCGGCCAGCAGAGGGAACACCAAGGCCACGCTTTCTCAACCGGCCTGCAGTTGTGACTTCTCCTCCCAACTGGGAAAATGTCTAGGAGGCTCAGAGCTGCAGAAGCCAGGGGAGCTCGGGCCTGGGCATGCGGGTGGAGGAACAAATAGCACAGAGCAGGTTTTTATTCCTGGGGGGCATCAGTTCTAAGTACCAGTATCCCACAATGCTGAGTCACTGGCTCTGCCATGGCCCCCAGAGGCTGTTAGAAGGACCCACCCTAATTCTGAGCCCTGAAAGTAGATAAACAGGGCAACAAGGGATAAAAAGATGCAGAGAAAGCAGATCAGCTGGGCGAACTGGGCTTAGCATCAGACTCCCACAGTTCACACCTGCTCCCTGGGCGTTAAGTGTTCTCATCCTTAAAAAGCGGATATAAAGGACCTGCCTTGGGGCTACTGCAAGGACTAAACCAGAAGCTATTTGCACCAAGAAACTTCGCCTGGATCATCACAGAAGTCTGCTCATGGGTCACCCAGCTTCTGCCCTTACCCCTGCACACTCTTCCCCCCTCCACAGCCTGGGTGATCCTTTAAGTGTCAAAGTGAGATCCTGTCCCTCCTCTGCTCAAAACCCTCCCCTGGCTCCCACCCACTCGGAGGAACAGCCAAAGTCCTACAACAGCCTGCAAGACCTGCACAGTCAGACCCCAGTGGGTTCCCAGGACTCGCCGCCCCTCTCTTGGCTCACTGTTCCAGCCACACTGGGTATCTTGTTTCTCAAACACTATGTGCCTGCTCCAGCCTCAGGGCCTTTGTACCTGCTGTCTTCTCTGCCTGGAGGGCTCCTCCCCAGGGTCCGATGGCTCATCCCCTCCCCTCCTTTGGTTCTCGGGTCAGAGGTCACCTTCTTCGTGAGGCACCCGGTGGCCACCTTATCACACTTTCAACTGCCACTACCCACAGACCTTCCTGCCCCCTTCTCTGCTTAATTTTTCTCCTTCTCCCTTATCTCTATACATGAGGGTTTCTCAACTGCAGCACGACTGACACTTGGGGCCTAGATAATTCTCGGCTGGGGGTTGGGGTGGTTGAGCTTCCTAGAGGAGCAGCCCCGTCTCCCCTGGCCTCTAGGCATCAGACACCAGTGCCTCTTCTTCTTCAACCGAAAATGTCTCTAGACATTGCCGCGTGTCCCCTGGGGGCAAAACTGCCCCAGTGAGAACCAGAGGTCTAATACATCCATGTCCTTAGCTATTTATTTCCATCTCCCCAAAATCAGGACACAAGATTCCCGAGTATAAGAACGCTGTGCTATGTCCAGCGCCGGGTCCCCGGTGCCTAGAACAGGGGCACCCAGCAGGTTCTCAGTAAGCGCTGCTGAATGAACGAACGAGGAGCGTGAGGGCGGAGCGAGCCCCGCCCCCCCGGCCCCCACTCACCACGGCCGGCGAGAGCAGGGACTGGCAGTGCAGGAGGACGCCGGTGGCCGCCACCTGCTCCAGCCACTTGCGGCTGGCGTCCCGGCTGCTCTCCTCGTATTCGCCGTTGTTGTTGTAGCGGTAGCTCAAGGCCGCCAGCAGCTGCTCGGAGAAGGTGCACACGGCGGCCACCAGCACCTGGCAGAAGATGCCGTCCCGCCGCAGCTGCAACTCCGTGTCTGCGGGCGGAGGGGGCCGCGCGGGGCCGTCAGCAGGCTGGCACCCCGGAGCCCCGAGCTAGCCCCCACTCCCCGAGCCAGACCACCCATCTGGGCCCAGCTTGCCAAAATTCTCTTCATCCCCTGGCACCAAAAGCCAACCCCGTTAAAAACTGACTCTCCAAAAGCAAGCCGATCTGTGGCAAAACTCAACTCTCTCAATGACCCATCTGCCTATTTAAAAAAATAAAACAGGGGCTCCTCTGGCGATGAAGGCTTCGCCTTCCGATGCAGGAGGTGGGGGTTCGATCTGTAGTTGGGGAGCTGAGATTCCACGTGCCTCATGGCCAATAAACCAAAACATCAAACAGAAGCAATGTTGTGACAAATTCAGTAAAAACTTCAGAAAAAAAGTGATCCTCATTAAAAAAAAAAAAAAAAACCTGTGATTTCCCTAACACTTGCCCCAAACCCCTACCCTCAGCTGTTCCTTTATTTATTAGGAAATGTCTCAGCCTTGACCAAGAATGACAATGATGCCAAGCTCCATGTTCGAAGAAATGCAGTTTACCATTTTCTCTGTTTTTGAGAAATATACCTTCTTCCTACATCCCTCCCCCCTACCTCCAATTCCTTGGCCCCTGCCTGTGATGTGATTTGCAGAACTGGCCAATTTCGGGCAGTTGGTCATTGAGGGTCCTTAATCTTCAGGAAGGGATTTTTTGTTTTGCTTTTGCCTGCACCACGTGGCTTACGAGATCTTAGCTCCCCCCAAAAAAAGCTGAACCTGCGCCCTCACAGTGAAAGTGCTGCGTCCTATCCACTGAACCAGGGAATTCCCTGAAAGGGCTTATTTTCAATGACTGGCAACAGCCAACGGATTTTCCGTGCCCAATTTTGACCTAGATCCTATTCTAGCTGCCCCATGGCTGAGAATTTCTGGAAGGATGGGACAGAGAACACCTCCAAGATTTCCCTGGGCACCCATCAGCCCCTCTTCCTTCCCACCATCTGCAGGGGCAGGAAGCCCCAGGCTGGGACTGAGGGCTCCACCAGCAGAAAGCCTCTGAAATCATCAGTGCTCTAAGCTGGGTCCTCACTGAGATCAGCCCAGGCCTGGGAGGGGACAAGAAAGAATGCTTCAAGCTCCAGGGCCTGAGACTTGTCCCCTGGACACAGGAAGAGGAAATGAGGTCTGAGAAGTTCTCAAGGTGCCAGAGGCCACAGGGCTACCTCCCCCACAGGCAGGCCCCGAGGACCCTGCAGAAGTCAACCTGGGTCGGCAGGAGAGGCCGTCCCTGGACTGCGGTCACGAGCGCCAGCTGCTGGGACAGCCTCTCCCGGGTATAGCTGGCATGTGCACCCTGCAGAGAGTTGCCCTTTCAAAGCCCTCACCTGTGCACTTCAGCAAGGCCAGGAGCAGCTGGTTCTTTCCATCTGGAAGGAGAAGGGACCGAGAAGGGAGGTGGGCTGAGTGGAGTAAGCAGAAGATGCCAGCAGAGCCAAGCCTGCCCCCCGGTCCACGTGCTCTGCCCCCCTTTGCAGTGAAGCTCTGGGTACACACAGCCAGGTTCAGGAAGCTTTGAGTGAGTGTTGGGTGGATTCCAGAAACCTCGGACATCCAGGGCGTGAAACCCCAACTGTTAGCTGCACCGCAATTGTTTATACACACCCACTGAACAAAGACTGAAACCAGCCCCTGCAACTCCTGGGCTAGAGCCCCCAGCCCACGCCTCATACCTGCTCATGGGCACACACATGTGGCTGCTCACATAGGTTCACACGCATCCTAAGGTACTTATTCACGTCACCCTACACGGCCAAGCCCTGCCCACATGCAGACGAAACTCAGACCTTCCAGACACAGGCTAACATCCTGGTTTTTCCTTCACATAAAGGCTCTTGGGCCCAGAAGGGGCTTAGAAAAACCTGAAAGGCCTTTGGGTCTGGGCTCTCGTGGTACATTCTACCCTGGGGAGGCATCAAGACGCAGGGCTGGTGTGACAGGAACAGCAGCGTCTGCTTATTGAGGACTTACTGTGTGCCAGGCACTGTACCAAGTGCCTTATGTGTACTGACTCATTCACTCCTCACAACAACACATAAGGGAAGGCGCCCTATGAACCCATTCTACAGTGGAGAGACTGAGGCACAGACGTCAAGGAACTTGCCAAGATCACACAGCCAGTAAGTGGGAGAGCTGGGGTTCAAGCCCTGACCGCCTGGCTCCAGAGTCCATGCTCTCAACCAATGACAGCTTCGGAAAACAGGGCAGCTCAGGGCCAACCCAGACTTCCAACTCAGAGGGGGCTGTTCCTGGGGTCATGAGCCTGGGGCCAAGTACCCCCTGCTATGCTGATCAAATGTCTCCCTGGCCTGGAGTCCTTCTAACCCAGGAGTCTCAGGCTCAGATGCTGCGAAGGGCCAGGCAGGTAACATAAGGGGCATGAGCAGACCCTGGACCACAGGGTATGGTGGGGTCCACGTGGACTGGAAGGCTCCCCTCCCCAACCTAAAGATGGAGGCCACCACTCATCTCCAAACAAGTGTGAATGGTTGCAAGCCTGTTACTGCCAGATCATCTGATTGTTCAAGAATAGCCAGAACTCTAGACTTGTATGTGGGCTTTCGGATTATAAACATTGGAAGCAGATTCACATTTTTTAACGCTAGAGCATCCAAACCTACCTGTAGGCCCGAGTCTGATAAGGACCCTCTCTCCCCTCAACACACACCTGTAACCTTGATCATAAACACAAGAAACCTAACTAAATCCACGGCTGTGGAAGCTGGGAAGGAACAAGCTCGGCCTCCTCAGCCTCCTGATTCTGCAAGGAAGCCCCGGGCACCCCAGATGAGCAGTTCCCTGACCATGTGTGTGCTGTCCCAGGGCCCTGAGAAAGCGGCACTGCCGCTTCCTGTCCTCTCTCTGGGCCTAGAGAGACGGGGGCACAGAGGTGGACCCACTGCTGACCCTCCCGTGTTCCTCATTAAGAACCGGAGGCCACAAGCCCTCCACGTAACAGCCTTCCCTGCCCGACTGACCTTCCACGTATCTCTGAATGTTGTCCACCAGGGTCTTGATGGAATTGGGGAGGTTCCAGGGGTCCTCCTGAATGCTGATCTGGATCAGGTTTCGGCCACGGATTGTACATTCCTCTTTCTGTCTGAACTCTGGAGCAGGTAGGAGACACGGAGCTTTGAGAGATGGTGCTACAGAGGCCTCTGTCCCATCACTAGGTTCCAAAGCTCAGAGTCTTAGGTCAAGGGTGCTGGCGGGAGCCTTGGGTATCATCTGGTCCATGGGAAGGCAAACAGATGGTAAGCGTGCTGCTAATGGATAGTACCGTACCCATGGCAGACATCGCTACTCAATCTCAGCAGTCCTTTCTGCTAGTCTGAGGATGGGACTCCTCACAGGCGCAACCAATCCAATGCAGAATCACAAATGAATCTCCGTGTTTTCTTCTCCTGAGCCTGAATGCAGTCACAGAAGGATCCTCAGGTCCCGCCCCCTCACAGCCATACCAATCAAGCTGGCACATGAGCTATAACCTAGCGCAATCTTTTTCCTACACAGAGGAGGAAGTCAAGGCACAGAGGGGCGAAAATGGCTTGCCTAAAGTGACTCATCACAGCAGTGACCAAGATGGGACTTGAATCTGACCCCAGACAGGCTGACAGAGGCCTCTGCCCCTTTGGCCTCGTCCCTGCTACGAAGTCTCAAGTCTCTGAAATACTTTATGGTTTCGGCTCCTCTGAGTTTGACATTTCAGAGGTCCATCCCAGGCAGAGATGACTCTGAGACAGTCAGAAGGGCTCTGCTAGGGCACCCCAACCCCTGACCACTTCTGACCCTCACTTAGAAGCAACTGGTTCTTTTATCTCCTGCACCCTACTGGAAATTCCTGGAGGTCAGAGGCAGTGTTTCATTCATCTCACAAGCCCCAGAGCCCACCACAAGGCTGAGCACAAGTTGGTTCTTGGAAATTACTTACTGGATGCATGGATGAGCAGACAGATGGATGGATGCTGGTGGGTGGGTGGATGGATGAATGGGTGGGTGGGTGGGTGGGCAGATGGTGGATGAATGGATGGGTGGGTGAATGGATAAGTGGATGGTAGTGGGTCAGTGGGTGGGTAGAGTGGATGGATGGATGGATGGGTAGATAAATGGGTGGGGGGATGGGTAAATGGCTCGATGGTAAACAAGAGGAAAGGCAGGTAGAAAGACATAAATGTTGATTATTTTTCTCTCAATCATTTCAAGAAGAAAGTCTCAATTTGGTGCTGTCAAGTCCTTAACACTTCTTTAACTTGTTAATCCCTCTCATGAATAAACAACAAAGAGCTCTGGACAGACAATGCCTAACTACAGTACAAGGACATTTTCATTGTTGGTTCCATTGGACTTATTATTTTATGGCATGTTACGATGATTTTCCACTTACAGGAAGTTTAATAAATTCTTTTCAAAATTAAATTTTTTAAAGGGAGACACTTTTTCAGACAAGATCTATCAATAACAATACAGGCAGCAGTGCTCGCTTCGGCAGCACACATACTAAAAAACAATACAGGCAGCAAATGAATATACTTTAAAAAATGTAAAGATGTCAGTAGATTCTATGAACATGTCTAAAATGATGAAGAGGGTTAGGGGTTTTTGAGGTCTAGAAAACTGTGCTCCAGTCCTTCCCCTTGTGTTATATATGGGCAGATGGAGGCCCGGAAGGGCTCAGGGACCAGCCCAGGGGTCCACACACATTTTCTGTAAAGAGTCAGATAGGATCTGATTTAAGCTTTGCAGGGCATTCGGTTCCTGTCACATGTTTTCTTTTGTTTTGATGACTCACTATAAATGAAAAATCATTCTCAGCTCATAGTCTATACAAAAACAGGCTGTGGGCCGGATTCAGCCCATAGGCTGAGCTTGCGGACCGCCCCTGGACTGGCCCACAGCCATTCGGCAGCCGAGGGGCAAAGAGGACAGCATGTGGCCCAGGCAGCCTGCCCCCCGTCCAGCACACGTGCCACGTCACAGGAGGCTATGTCCCTGATGGATGCGGGCTGCCGTCCCCCACCCTGGAGGACTCTTTCCTGCTCACCTTGTAAGCTGTGGTCCATGGGGAAATGCTTGGTCTCTTCAAAAGCCCTGCTCATGACTGGCCCCTTGAGGAGTGTGTGGATGGAGTCCACCTGGGCGACAGGAAGCCCCGGGTTAGTCTGGCCCTCAGGGCCCTCCAAGAGGCTAGAACCTATGACCTCCGGGTGATGGGAAGAACTCAAGGTCAGGCCAGGGTTGGGACAAAGATCCTACCTGGTTAAAGAGATGCTCTAGGCAGCCATGAAGCTTGTCCTGCTTGTCTGATGGGATCCTCATGTCACAGGGCAACTCATCCCCTAGCAGAAGGAAGAAACCACAGCCATCAACTATTCCTGCCCCATCGCACACCTTACCAGCCTCTTTTGCAAGAAGGCAACGTAGCTACAGAGCTCTGAAACCCACAGTGGACTTGGAGTCTGATAGATCCAGGTCCCAGCTGTGCGACGCTGCACAAATCACTTGACCTCTTTGAGCCTCAGTTTGTTTATCTGCAAAATGGGCAACAGGAACTAAAACATTACACAACTGTAAGTCACTGTTACTACTTTCACTCTGAAAACAAGTGAAGGAACCAGATCCCACATCTCTCATTCATCCCCCAGCCGTTTCATTTAAATTGCCTTCCTAAAACCTCCCCAGGGGTATTTTTTGCAGCTGAATAGCTTCTGTAATGAAATATTTATCCAAAGGTCAGAAATAGCTCTGATATTTCCCGAGCTTCTTTTTCTTCTGCTAAACTGAAGTATAATTTAAATTAAATTTTTATGCACAGACTACCTCCGGAAGGACACACAAGACAGCAGCGACAGTGGGAGCTTGGGAAGCAGGAGGCCGGGAAACAAGAGTGGGAGGGAGTTTGTCACCATCCACCCTCTCTCACGCCTTTCGAATTATGTACCATGTGATTGTCTATCCCATTCACAAAATAAAAATTTTTAAGGCTGAAATCCATGAAAATTAAACAAGTTTCAGTCTCTCAGTAAAAGGTGCAAGTAACATATAATCAAATTTATGTGTTCAGTTGCTCTGTTGCTTCCAACTCTTTTGTAATCCCATGGACTGCAGCCGCCAGGCTCCTCCATGGGATTTTTCAAGCAAGAAGACCAGAGTGGGTTTGCCAGTTCCTCCTCCAGGGGATCTTCCCGACCCAGGGATTGAACCTGTTGTCTCCTGAATTGGCAGGCAGATTCTTCACCACTGAGCCACCCTAACTTATAAATTCTTAATTATGTCTGACTGTCCCTCCAGCCATCCACCCGTATTTCTTCATCTCTGTGCAGAAATACATGTTCACCAGTGATCCCCAAATATCCTCAATGGTCACTTCTGTGGGAGAGGTTGAGATTATGACTTATTTTCATGTACTTCTTTTGTGTTGTGTGAATTTTGGGTTTGAGCACGTGTCATTCCTGGAAACCATCAGGTCGCCCTATTTTAGCAATGCGGGAGCCCTCATCCCATCCGGTAACAGGATCAGGTGTGTTTTTATCTGTTCTGTGTCCACGACATTCACAGAGAACGTGAGCTCTACGAGGGCCTGTCTTTTCAAAATTCACAGCTGTGGTCCCAGCACATAACAGGTGTGCAATAAAGACATGCAAAATGAGTGAAGGAAAACCATTACCATACCGTGCAAAGTAACAGAAAACAAGAGAAGGTGTAGGAAAGCGTAACAAAATAAAAATGAACAAATTACAATCTCATCGGGGACCCCCTCAGCCTTGGTACTCACCGGAGCCCATCTCGTCGCTGCCCAGGTAAGAGCTGTTACTTCTCACGCTGGTGTAGGACAGGACAGAGTCCCGATTGCTGTTACACTCACTGCAGAGCGGCAGAGAAGAAGGCGAGAGTCAACCCTCTGCCTCCCCACTCACAGCCTCTGGTCCCAGCATCCGGAACCCACTTTCTGGAATGTAGCCAAAACCCTCGGGCAGATGACTGGCCCAGAGAGAGCACTGTTGGCCAACCACCAGTGCCAGAGTTGGGGAAGGTTGTCCCCGGTGGGTTTCCTAGGTCCCACCCTGGAGAAACATCTCCAGGCCTCGGCATAGAAACACAGCAATGGTAGGCGGACAGTGACGCCTTTTCATCCGGGTGTAATTACCGTCACTCCCCTCGTGGGACAGTCTTGTCCCTAGATACACCTGCGCCCCCACACTCGACCACATGGCCTGGCTGGAAACCTCCTTAGAACAAGGGCTGTGTGTGCTTAGCTTGTGACCCAAGAACTCAGAAGGTATGGGGAATCAAAAACCACAACCCTGAAATTCTTTCCTTCACTTTTCTGACTATTAAAGGAAAAACTGGAGGATCCAAAAATGTCAGAACGGAAACGCAGAGAGATAAGATCTTGGTCTGTGGACACAAGGCTCCAAGAACACACAGGAACCAGACAGCCAGACCATCTCATTACACAGACACCAAGAAACACTGGGCCCCTTGAAGACTGAAAGGCTATAAATGCCGGGAGGACGGGGCCCAGGGCCTTGCCAAATTCTATCAGTCCTCTTTTTGCCCAAAATCATATGAAGTGTCCCCCCAAGGTTCTAGTTTAACCACAACCATCAGATGTTGGAGAACCTTTTCACTGGAGGCCACAGCGCTTGTTTGTTTGTGGTGCAGAATTCCGTTCACTCTACGGTTTATTACAGGAAATTGAGTTTTTGGTCTGTTCAACCCACTAATTAAGACTTCACCCATCTTGTTAATAATTAACCAGGGGAAAACAATTCAGATCCTCGAGAGTTAGGAGGGAAAAAAATGGTCTTACTCCCTGGATCAAGGAAAAACAGTGTTTGCTGCAAAAACCAGAGGCCTAACGTTGATTTTAAAACACACAGATCTTGACTTTTTCTTGGACTACGTTCCATCAGCGTATGGGGACAGGAATCAAGGCCGAAAGGATCAGTGGTGTCCCCAAGGGGACAGGCCCTGAAACATTCGTCTGGGGGGAGGGAGGCTGAAGAGCATATCCTGGGTGTGCTGTGGGACTCAATAACTCCCCAGAACCACAAACCACATGGGTAGGCAACAGCACCCTATCCCACGGCTTCCTGAGAAACAGCCTCTAATTCCGACCTTTCCACAGCCAAGGCCTCAACTATGCCTCCACACCAAAACCCACGAGACCCCCACAAGCCAGGCCTGCCCCCACCTGTAGGAGTCCCGGTAGCTCATGGTGTCGTGACCCGAGTCCTCCTGATCCTCCTCGCACACCTTGAAGCACACCTTCTTGCTGCCACCGTGGTCAGTCCTGTCCATCTCGCTCTCTTCGCTGACCAGCGGTGGGGAGGAGGCCTCCTCGGCCAAGGCGGGGTCACAGGACCCACTGGAGGTGGGCTCTGTGATAGTGGACAACAGCCTGCGGGAGCAAAGACTTTGAACTTCAAGACACAAAAGCCCCGGGTCATTTGTCACCTAGAACCGCCCACCTCCTGGATTGAGCCAATGTCATCCCTGAGGTAGCATTTCAGCCTCCCTTATACCCCGCATCATCTAGCCAGCCTGGAACTTGGATCAGAGAATTATGCGACTTGTGTTGGTGAGAACGCTTTGTAGGTGGTGCCATGTGTATGGCCTGCTGCACGGCACCAAAAGGGCCATCATGTCCAGTCAGCTTTCTCTCTCTGCAGTGCTGAAATAATAAAGGTCCCCCCAAACCTTTCACCGATAGTTTCAGCCTCTACTGACGATGCTGCCTACATCCATCCTTTTATTAGAGTAGCGGTTCTCAGTCAGAATGATTCTGCCCCCAGAAAGCATCTGACAACATCTGAAGACATCTCAGGCTATCAGAACTAGGGAAGGGAGTACTACTGGTATCTGGTGGGTAGAGACCGGGGATACTGCTAATAACCACTAATGGACAGGAACCCCCGACGCCAAAGAATGATCCTACTCAAAATGTTGATGCCGCAGATGCTGGGAAATCCTGACCCTGACACAGGGCTCACCTGTTGATCTGAGTGACATATTGCTTCATCTCCTTCAAGGCCACATCCAGTTTGGTAAACAGCTGCAGGTAGGCATCCTGGATCTCACGGTCCTCCTGCTTGAGTAGGAAACTCAGGCCTCGGTCCTCCTGGCCAAGGGCTCCATTGGCTGGCCCAAAGCTGCTGTCGTTGGGACCCTGACGTTGTGGGTCCCCATCCGCAGCAGGCAGGCACTTCCAGGATGGGGCAGCCATGGTGGTGATGCAGTGTTGGGTATAGGACATGGGGTTCAGGTGACCTACGGTAGGGAGCAAAAGCTCACAAACCCATTTTAAGGATCCCAGTAAATGAAAAAAAGATTTCCGTTTAAAATACTCTTTTAATACATTAAACTGCTTCAATAAGAAAGTTTCAGTTTGGTGCCAATACTCTCTTAACTACTGTGATCATTTTCCTGCCTGGAATGTAGACATGATGGCTGGTGCTCCAGCAGCCATTTTATACCATGAGGCATCTTTCAGGATAAAAGCAACATTTAGAGGTGGTGGCATAGAAAGATAGGAGTCTGGATCCCTGATGACCATACAGCCACCATCCCAGCTCTAGCCTGTTGGCCTTCAGACATGCTTCTATTTAAGTACTGTAGTGTGAGATCTGAACACACTTTTGACAGACGCGTGCAGTTACCTTGTTCTGGGTCAAGGCCGATGAGGGAGGGTTTGCGACCAAAGCGGATGCTGAAGGACCTCCCAACTGAGGGAGTGGTCTTGGGGTAGGATACTTCCATGAGGTTGACGTGGCAATTGGTGGGGCAAAAGTCCAGGCCACATAGCGGATGGGGTTCCAGGGGTGCTTGTTTGAAGGGTGGGCTGATCCTGCTCTTTAGCTCAGCTGCAAACTGGGAAAGGAGGGGGGCATGGGGTTGTGATTTAGGGTTCTGGGAATTCTGGCACACCTCCAGTACCCACTTTATCCTAGCCTAGGCCAGACATTCCAAAATTGGAAAAAATGCCGGTAAGTCCAAATGGGAAAGTAAATTCCCCTGCACTGCCTTTCACTGGACCCAGATTTCAGGGAACTCCTGGAGGAATGTGAGGCTTCCAAGCACCTACCCACCTACATGTCTCCATTTTAGCTGCACCTGAGGTGTCCTGGGGGAACATCTCTCCCTGACCCAGCACCTGTGAGGTTCAAGTAAGGTTGCCTCCCCATTCCTGCAGAACTTGTACAGGCCTAGGCAGGGGACCCAGGCCAAGCCAAGGAGAGCTCTCACAGCATTCTATTTCTGCTGGGGTTGCTAAGGCTAAAGCTACTCGGGGCCATTTTATTACCGCATGAAAAAGGGCCTACCTGAAAAAGCAAAGCCAATAAGGAAAACAAAGTCAAGAGAAGAGAGAGGTCCTGTTCTTGGAACAGTGTGGTATCTGTCTGAGTGCTGGATACGACCATGCCTGAAGCTTACTATGGATGTTTCAGTAATATAAACCAGCTAATTATCCTGTCTGTTCAAGCTAAGTTGGGTTGGGATTTGACACTGAGACACCCCAAGTTGAGACCCTGTTGGGTACAGGCACCTCCTGGTAGCAGGCGATCCTCTGGCCGATGCTCTCCAGCTTGGTGTCACAGATGTTGCGGAACTCGAAGTGGGACATGGTCCTCATGTTGCTGCTTAGGGCCATGAGCCGCCCACAGTTCTGCACAAAGACACTGTCATCGGCAGCAAAGGCCTCAAGGATCTGCGGAAGTATTAACAGCTACTGAGTACTCACTGGGCACCTGGCAGAGTCTTAAGGGAGTTTATCTTGGGTGACTACTATACGTCTTGTAATACCCGTATAGGTCAGGTCTACTATTGGCCCACTTAATAGATGAGCAAACTGAGGCTAAGAGAGAAAAAGTCAGTCTCCTAAGCCCCACAGCTACCAAGTGGAGGGGCAGGGATTAGGACCAAGGTTCCCCAGGCGGACTCGGAGGACGTGGGGTTCAGGCTGCTCCACCCCCCAGGGCGGGGCGGGGCCACGCCCAGCAAGACCTTGGCAGTGAGGCTGAAGCAGCCGCGGGGCTCCACCATCTTCTCCAGCACGTGGCACTTGATGCCCGCGGTGCTGACATACTCGTACACCACGCCGTGCTCCAGGTGCACGTTGTCCACTGTCAGGCTGACCAAAGGGCTGTCCTCGTGCTGGCTCGGCTGGGGACCCAGGGACATCAGGGGGAAGGCTGGAAGCCAGAGGGACAGGTGACTCTGAGGAGGGGCCACACCAAGCCAGCCCCCGACCCAGCACCGCGGACACCCTGTGTTAAGACAGACGGGGAGACTGAAACCTGAGCTGCAGCTCTTTTCACTTTTGCCAGCCCACTATCACTCACTTCTTACTCTAAAAGATTCTCCTTTCAGGAATCAAGCCTTGAGTCTCATTCACAGTTTCTGGGGCTCAGAAAAGGAGACTCATTTGCCATCCATACCCTCCCCCAGAGGCAAAGGCCTGCCATTCAGCATGTTTGATTTCCTCTATTCACATTCATTTCCTCTACTCTTGTTCAGGAACAAGCATGTGACCCAAGCTGAGTCCATGAGAGTGAGATCTCTTTGGATCTACAAAGAGAAGGAGACATTCTCTTTTTCAACTGGATTTCAAGTTACCAAAGCCACTAGGTGGAGAAAACAGCATGTGAGAGGGAAGCCAACACAGAGGGAGCAGAGCTGAGAACTGGAGAAAAAGAAGGCCTCCTCAGTAATGAAATGCTGGATCGAGCCAGACCTGAAGCTTGTTAACCCTACTCAGCCTTTTTAGTTTGCTGAGCCCATGTTTTTATGGAGCCCAGTTTCAGTCCAGATTAACAAGGTCCCAGGGAGACTGTGACTCCTTAGAGGTCACACATCTAGGCAGTGCCATATCTAGGAAGAAAGCAAGCATTTTATGGCCTGAAGTGTTTCCCTTGCCACCTGCTCCAAAGAGTACCTCTCAACACACACACTGTCACCCTTTCCCCCTCACCCTCCATGCTACATCACCGATTATCAATTCTTCTGTTCTTTCGTTCATCGTCTGGCTCCCCTCATGTCCACGCCCTAAGGGCAGAGACCTGGTCTGCTTTGTTCACGCCTGTTTCCCCAGCTCCTTGAACATGAGCTGGCACATAGTAGGTGCTTCTACTTATTGAATGGAAGTTTCAAAGCCACCAGCTCTTGCCAGTGTGGTTTACCATCGTCATCTCTGGGGTCACCCACGTTTTGCACGGCCCTTTGCTCTCAGAGGGGCATAAACTGAGCTCGGAGCTGGCCTCCGGCCTCTCCATCTTCCCATCGGCCTGTCTCCTTTAGGGCCCCTCTTTCAGGCTGTGGTTGTTTCAGCAGCAGGAGAACAGCTCCCTGAGGGCAGGGATTTTTTTGGTTTAATCCTTACTGTATCCTCCAAACCTAGAACTGAGCCTGGCACATAGTAGGTGCCAACTAGATGCTTGGAGTCTGACTAATAGCTCCTCCTCTCCAGTTGCTTCTGTGGTCTGCTGGGCGAGGGGCAGGAGGAGACGTGGGAAGACCAGCGGCTTTCGATGCCTTGGTGTCTGACAGCTCTGGGCTCCATGCTGGTGACTTTGGGGTCAACAAAGAGGCAGGGTTTACAGGGCTGGCTGGGAGCTGTTTCTCTGAAACAGGCAAGTGAAGAGCCACAGAAGGGAATGCAGGCCTGCCGACACCTTGATCAGAGCCCAGGGAGACGCCTTTCGGACTTGTGTCCTCCAGAACTGTAACGTAGCAAATGTGTGTGGTTTTAAACCACCAGGTTCCCAGTACTTTGTTACGGCAGCGATCAGAGACTCATACAGAGCTGACAGCATCGAGAAGGACTGGACGGGACTGGGAGGAATGTGGACACAGAGGACCCGGTCCCCACGGGCGTCTCTGTCTCACGGCCTGCCTGTCCCGTTACCCGAGTTGAGCTGGTCTTCCTCTCGGGCCCCCTCGCCACTGGGGTCCTCGCCAGCAGCCTCCCGGGCCTCCTGCGCATCCTCATGGGTGCGGTAGATCCACTGGTACAGGCCCTGTGTGGGGAGCAGAGTAAGAGGGGCAGCAGCGACGCCAGGAGCCCAGGTGCACGCTGTCCCGACTCCAAAGCTCAGGGTTTCAGCCTGTCGGCGACACCACCTTCAGAGAGCCCTCCCAGACTTCACCCTGGAAACTTCCTGAGGGACCTCCAGTCACACTTGGCCCTCACTGACCACAGTCTACGCTCCTCACAGAGGCCAGGGAAGGGGGAGCCACTGAAAACCTAAGTCAGCTTCATAGGAGCAGAAAGCTTGTCTCTCCTGTGGCCCCAGGGTGTAGAAACATGCCAGGCACACAGCAGGTACACAAGAAACGCTTATTAAATAAACCAATGAACCATGGTACACAGAACCCTGGGTCCCCAACCCAAGTATAACATCAATTTCTTATCATCAATGTGACTAGTTGCCCAACGTGCCTACGTGGTAAGAAAAGAGGGCCTTATCACACCCATTTCACAGCTGTAGAAACTGAGGCCGTGAGATTTAGGGAAGCAGAGGGGTCCCAGAGCCCAAGCCCAGCTCAGCCCTCAGGTCGGCATCCCCACCCCACGCAGAACCCTGCGGTGCCTGCAGGCTTTTCCCCAGAGAAGGGAGGGTGTCCTCAGCCTCCACCCCAGCGAGCAGGGCTTCCCTGATTCCCTTGGCTGTCAGGTGGCTCACCAGGGCCTCTTCTTGGCGGCTCCGGAATGCCTGAAAGTGCTCCAGGACCTCTGAGGCTCCGTCATTCATCACATTGCTGCCGTTGACCTTCAGGATGCACTGGCCGGCACAGAGGCCTGCAGCCGCAGCCTCGGAGCCTAAAGGGGACAGGAGCGCTTGAGGCCAGATACCAGGTGATGACAGGCTGGGGTGGTATCAGGCAAGGGCGAGTAACCAGATGAACCTGTTCCCCACCCCACACCAAATGCCACCTCCATCCTCCCACCCTGCAGCCACTCTCCACCCCACGCCAGGAGGCAGGACAGACACTGTCATTCCCATTTGGCAGAAGAAGAGACCGCGGCTCAGAGAAGTAGCAGTGAGCCCACGGTCATGCGGCAAGGGAGGCTGGCCTTGAACCCAGGCACATTTCACTCCTTTGCACGTGTGCTTGCTACTCACTTCAGTAGCTGACTCTTTGCAACCCCGTGGACTGTAGCCTGCCAGGCGCCTCTGTGCACGGGATTCCCCAGGCAAGAATACTGGAGTGGGTGGCCATGCCCTCCTCCAGGGGGTCTTCCTGACTCAGGGATCGAACCTGCAGCTCCTGCAGCTCCTGAACTGCAGGCGGATTCTTCACCGCTGCGCCACCAGGGAAGCCCTCTTCTCCTTTAAGTCCCACAACAACCCCATGATGCTGGAGCCAGGATCAGCCCCATTTTGCAGACAGAGAAAGAGAGGCTCAGAGAGGCAAAGTGGCTCTCTCAAGGTCACGTGTCTAGGAGAAGCCAGGTTTCAAACCCAGGTCTACCAGGCTCCAAGGGCATGCTTTCTCAGCTGTCCCATGACTCGCAAACTGCCACATTCCTGCCTGGCAATAAGGAGCTGGAGCTGAAGAAACACGGCCCTGTTCCGAGTGAATGTGCATGCTTCTCACTTTGCCACAGTCCTCACCACTTCCTAGTGCTTCCTTTCAGGTGCCCATGGGTAGCTGCCGGACCCCCACAGGCATGCACATTTACAAGCCTTGACTTCCAGCAAAGAAGGTAAGTGTGCTAAGAGGCACGGGCCTAGAGGTGACTGTTTGGGCGGGCGCCTCTGAACTCCTTCTACAAACACAACAGACCGGCCTCCCAAAGCCCCACTCCACGTCTCTTGGGCTCCCACTCACCTCTCCCCACTGCGTAGACATACGGCGGGGCTGCTCCCCGGATCTGGAAGCACAGGGCCTCCGGATGGTCGGGGACTTTGACGATCCTGCATGGAACAGAAGCTGCCGTGAGGTACAGCAGTCACTCCCGAAAGGCAGCCCAGGGGGCCACCGGGGGAGCCGCTGCCTCCCGGGCTTTTGGGAAATCCAGCCCCAGACAGCAGCAGCACCAGACTTTCCAAATGCACAGAGAAACCTCACTCAACCAGAATGCACAGAACAGGCTCTGGGATTCACTGGAACCAGCCAACCCGCCCTCGGAAAGTCCGTCCATGCACACTCCTAACCCTTCTCTGTCATCCTCTGCGTGAGAAGAGGCCTTGTGGCCACCAGACCAGCATATTGGCCAGTGTATATATTTTATTCAATAATCACTGACTTGGAGAGTGACAAGTGACCCCCAGCACATCTGGGTGCTGACTCTAAAAAAATGTCCACGTATCCCCCAGAGATCATGATTTGAAAGCCCAGACGACCCAGCCACTCTATGGGTGGATCACCAGGGCAGAGTGGGCAGCCTGTGCCCAGAGTCATTATTAATCCAGGGGCTTCAATGTAGCCATCAGCTTCCCTGTCTAAGGCATGTCTCCCACATTAGGCCTTGGATCGTCCCTACCTGCCATAAAAAGCCATCTTGGGAGCCTGTTCTCAAACCCCAGGTATTTCTGGAACTTGAAGCTGGCATGTTCCACCATGATGATTTCTCCCACTTCTACATACCAACCAAACCATCAATCATGTCCCCGAAACTGACAAGCCTTTTAACTGAAAGAATCCTATTTAAAACTTTCTATCACTCCCGTCAACAGAAAACCAGGAGCATCTGCCCTAAATAGAAGGGAGAAGCGAAATGCAAATGCGCAGGATTTAAAATAGAAAATGCTCCTCCAGGTGCCTATATCTGGTACCCGACCACTTCTCACCACGCCCATCACAGCTGGGCGGGGCCGGCCGGCAGCCTCCTCTCCACACTTCCAGCTTCCGCCCCGCCCTGACAATCTAGTCTCCACCTGCAGCCAGGGAGATGCTGCGGGACCCCACGTCAGATCACGCGGCCCCTCTGCTCAGAACCTTCCAGTAGCTCCACGGCCCTTACTGTGGGCACAGGTCCCAGAGGGCCTGGCCTCTACTTCTGACCGATCCCAGTGCCCACCCTGTTCCAGCCCCATCAGCTGCCTCACTGTTGCTCAAACGCACCAGCCCCAGTGCCGCCCCGGGGGCCCTCGCTGTTTCCTCTGCCGGGAACCGCCCTCCTCCAGATGTCCCCCGACCCCCACCCTCACCCCCTTCAGGTCTTCACCTCCATCCTCAGGGGCATCTCCCTGACCACCACTCCTCCACACAGCCCCTCTCCTGTCCCAGCTTTATAGTGGGTTGGCCAAAATGTTCGTCCGGATTTTCCTATAAGATGTGATGCAAAAACCAGAATGGTTTATGGCCAACCCAATATATTAGTCCACACTCACTACCTCCTGGTACACCTCTCCCTTTTCTGCTTGATTTTGTCCGTCTCCTGCTCTAGCCTCCAATCAGACCGAGTTCTGCGGGGGCAGTAATGGATCTATGCAGATGGGCCTGGGTCCCCAGAGCCTGAAACACCAGCGGGCACACAGCAGGCACCCAGTAAGCTCCTGTCGACTGAACGGAGCCAGCAGCACCTTGTCACGTGCCCGCAGAAGGACCCCCCCAGCCGCAGGGACCCGGGTCAGCCAGGCACCCCACCACCACCATCCCCCCGGGACCCAGGCAACTCCTCATCCCGAGAGGAAGGCCACCAGACAGCCTGCGCCTGGGGACACTCACTCTTTGGCCTTGGTGGCTACCAGGAGACGCAGCGGGCGGCGGGAGCAGAAAGACTGGTTGAGGAGGGACTCCACCTCAGCCAAGGGCCGCAGGAACACCAGGTCCTCGTTGATGGAGTAGATCTTCCTCCCCACCTGCAGGCCGGCCATCTGGGCGGGGGTGGTGAGGGAGACCAGCATAGCAGGTAACTGACCCCCTCTCCTTCTCACTTAAGAGCCGCTCAATTCAGGGGTACAGAGTCACCAGCCCCAGGGACCAAGTAGGACCCGAGTGAGACCCCCGCCCCCGCCAGGGCAACCCCGCTGCCCTCTGTGGTAAACAGTGAGGCAGGCTGGCGAGACCCATGCGGGCCAACGAGCTATGAGGGGAGGCCTGTGGGGGCCGATAACAGCAAAGACATTTTCCCTGAGAAGAAGCTTCCAGCCCGCCCCTGCTTCCTGCCCGGCTCTGCAAGGACACGAGGCATCGACCTGGGGTGGCCACCTTGTGACCACGAGGGTTTGGCCAGCAAAGGTGGAGAGATGTCAACCCTGAACCAAGACTTATAACCACCTCCTTCTAAACTGCTTACATCATAAGGAAACCGCAGCCCCGCGGCTCCGGCCACTGTCAAGCCCAGCCTGCGGCTACTACACACAGCCAAACGCCTTGCTGATCGCTACAAGGAAGCAAGCAGAGCCCCCTGGATAAAGTGGCCAGCGCCTCTCTCCCAGCCGCCTGCACACCCCCCTCTCTCCCAGCTAAGAGGCCCTGGGGCTGAAGCCTTGGCCCCCTCCTCCAGACCTCGTATCCATCTCGGAACAGCAAAACAAACCTGCCCTACTCAGGCGGGTGACCGTTAGTTTTTCTATAATCAGCTGATTCAGAAACCCAGGTGGTTTTTTTTTCATTTGGCTCCCATAGGGCCAGCAGGGGGAGCTGGTGGTACACGCTGGGAGGGCAACCTGGCCTCCGGGGCTCCATCACTAGTTCCCAGAGACTCGGACTCAGTTTCCCCAGGAGGGCAAGGAGCAAGGAGGAACCGCTGCCATTCCAGGGCTTTCTGAGCTGGAGGAGGGGTGCCCCACTCTCCTGTCTGTACGCAGTCCAAGGGGGCCGGGGGGGCCCCTCTGAGCCGCCTCACCTCCGCCAGCGAGCCCCTCTGGACTGACTTCACCACCACAGCCTTGTTCTTCTCTTCAATGTCGAAGCCGTAGTCTTCCTCCTGGGGCAGGATCTGGGGGTTCGAGGCAGGAGAGGTGGTGAGACAGGGAGGGGGGCCTGGAGCCTGCCCCAGCTTGGCCCCCACAGGGGGTGGATTGGAGGGGACCAGGACCCGGCCGGCTCCTCCTGTCCCAGATCTGCTCAAGGTGAGGCTGGGAGTGGGGTGACCACGTATTCATTGAGCTTTCTTGGCCTGTCTCCCCTTTCCTCCTCCCAACCTGAGGACAGAGCCTCCTTATTTATTATACTCCACTGTCTCCCCAGCTGCGGTCATACTGCTCAATAACAACTTACTGGCTTAATGAAATAAATCAGACCCCGAAGTGTCCTGCCACCAAGAACTTAGGGACAGGAAGGGGGTTTAGGGAGGAGCCGCCCCTCCCCATCACAGAGGTTTCGGGGATCCGTGCTGGTGGGGATATAGAGAAATGCATTTACTTGCTCAGTACATATTTTGCTGAGCTGCTGCCTATTATATGGGCCAGGTACTTCACTGTTCTGGGAACATCACCAAACAAGACAAATGGTTTCTGCCCTCATGGAGTTGTCTGTCTCGTGGGAGAGACAGACTGCAAACAAAGAAATATAGAATGTAGTGCTGGGGTGTTATGTACTTTGAATTAAAATAAAGCACTTAAAGGGACAGAACGCGGCACAGAAGCAGGGCCAGGGGAGGGGATGTCTGCGCTGAGATCTGAATGAAATGAGGGACAGAAGTTTATAAAGAGTGGAGGGCACAGCAGGTGCCAGGGCCCTGAGTCAGGCCCCAGAGTACTGGAGGGTAAGACGGAAGATCTGAGTGGCTGGGCTACGTGGGGCGAGGAAGGGGAGAACACGGGAGAGGAAGAAAAAGAGGCAGGAAGGTTTGTCCTAAGTGTGGTGTGGAGCGCTTGAGGGCTCTGTGGCAGGAGAAACGGACGTGCCCAGAGCCCCGCACATTGGGCAGGCTTCAGCCCCAACTCTGGCTTATGCTAAGAGACCCAGCCTCTCTGAGCCTCTCTCCCGGTTGCCTGCTGTGAGCCAGGCCTCAAGGTGGAGGCTGCAGTCCACCAGGAGGCACAGAACAGGATGTGGTGGGCGAGGCTGGTAAAACACCTGACCAGGCTGGTAAATGTCCTGCCTTAACTGCAAGGCCAGTCACAGCAACTGAACAAGGGCGCCGGCCCAGAAGACCCAAGGCTTTGGTGTGAGAGGGGTCATTTCAGGAGGCCATCCTCTGTGCAAAGGCTAGGCTGGGGATGGGGTGGGCAAGAGGAGGGGGAAGACAAAGAAAGGGAGCCCATAGAGCCCAGTCTCCTCTGCCGGGAGGGTGGTCTGGCGAGGAGAGTGGCCTGGCGTCTGGGCAGTGTTGCCAGCCACCGCCTAAAATCCCCCCTTACTTCTGGGCACCCTAGGGTGAGCCCAACTTCCCCAGCCACAACCTGAAGGCTGCCCGGGCCTGGGAAGGAAGATGCAGCGAGCTCGGCGCTGCTCCTACCAGCAGGCGCTTGGCCAAGATATTCTCTGCCAGCTTGAAGTCGCTGCGCAGCTGTCTGTTCTTGCCGCTGGTCCCCTCCATCTCCTCGTCCGCGTGGAAGCGGAAGTACTGCGACTCGTCCTTGAATTCGCTCTTCTCCAGCACTGCAAACCCACAGAAACAGGGTCAGGCCCACACGGGGAGCCCGCAGCGGCATCTGACGACCAGCAGGCATGGGCCAGGACCAGCCCCTGGACAAACCTGGGCTGGCCAGCATGGTGTTCTAGTAAGTAAAGTCCTGTGCCAAAACTAACACATTAGGATAGTTCACATAAAAGCCTGGCTTTCCGACTCTCGTGGAAATTCTGAACTCATTCCACCTGCTTATATAAAGGCATGTTACAAAGCCATGTAAGGTACAAAGCTGCGGAACCAGAGCAGAAATAAAGAACCAGTGGAAGAGAATAGCTATCACATAAGAGGACACTGTTTTATGGGAACTTAGCATATGATGGATGACGAACAACCACGTGGAGTATTCCATAGATGGTACGGGGAAAACTGATTCACTTACAGGAAAAAATAAAATCAGATCCCTACCCTCACACCATATATAACAATAAACTCCTGTTGAATCAAAGACCTAAATAAGAACAGGAAAACTAAAGCTCACCAAACGAAATGCAAGCAAGTGTCTTTGTCTTAAAACAGAAAAGGAGTTCACATACAAGAGCCCCCCCAAAAGCAGTATGATAAAAGTAAGGACTTCCATTCAATAGCAAGGCCACAGGCAGCCCACAGATTCAAAATTAACCGTATGGTCTAAAATCAATAAAGGAGAAATCTTGGGAAACTCCAGCAAATCAACCAGAGAAAGCTGGGAAACTCATAGATAAATGGGTAAAGGATATAAATAAGTAATTAACAAATGGGAAAAGCTAAGAGAATGGTAAGTGCCAAGTACATGGAAAAGAACTCACCCTCACTAATAATCAGAAACAGACCACAGCGAGACACTTTAGGCCAGGAAATGGTACACTCAGTCCCTGTGGGCCAAATGTGGCTCACTCCCACTTTTTATAAATAAAGTTTTATTGGAACACAGTCACACCCATTTGTTTATATATTGTCTGGGGCTGCTCTGGGGTCACAATGACAAAGTTAAATAACTGCAGAAGACTGTATGGTCCACAAAACCTGAGACATGTACTATCCGGGTCCTTACAGAAAAAGTCTTCAGACCTCTAAGACTAGGCAGGAAAGTGAGTAAAAAGAACCAGTAACAGGGGCTTCCCTGGCGGTCCAGTGGTTAAGACTCTGCACTTCCCCTGCAGGGGATGTGAGTTTGATCCCTGGTCAGGGAACTAAGATCCCCTATGCTGTGTGACTGAAAAATATTAAAACAAAAGCAGAAAAAAGAACCTGGTAACAATCAGCATGTGATGTGGTCTCTGTGGATTACAATTTAACTAAATACCTTCTAGTGCAGAGCACACCCGTGATATAGGCTCAAGTTCATTTACTCCGCAGACAAAGGAGGACCTGCTACACCCCTTTTAAAGACAGGAAGACTAAGGCCCAGAGGCGCTAAATAAACTCCAAGGTCACAGAGCCCAGGCTCCTCCTCTTCATCATACTGCCCAGCCTGGCCTGACAGATGGGCACGGGGACAAATTCCATAAGGAGGAGAGGTCGAGGCAGTCGTCTAAGGCCAGTGGGCCCGGGAAAGGACAAGCAGCTGCCTTAGCTTCGGGCCTCCCTGAAGGCCTGTGAGGACACGAAAAGCATCAAGAAGCCTTCCTTTCTGCCTCCTTCCCCTCCCGGGACAGCTAGCTGTTTGTGAGCATGGCTCGCAGGCCACCTCTATTACCTCCTTGGAGAGAACAGACGCTCAAATTGCTGCTTTCCCCAGAGCTGGGAGCCAGGCCCCAGGAGGCCGGCTGGCTCCCCCTCCACTGTAAACACAAGGCTACCGGACTCGGGAGAGGGAGGAGGGGCGCCGTGTTGTGTCTTATGTCTCAGCGGAAACAGCTGGAATCCCGGAGTTCAGGAGCTCGGCCAGGTGACGGCCGACCACTCCCAACATCCAGCCAAGGCCACTGGCCAGGCTTCGTGAGACGCGGGCACAGACCATCACTGAAAGCCTTGGTCAGTTCCCCTCGCCCCCAGGCTCAAGGCCGTTTAGCCTCTCTGAGCCTCAGTTTCCTCATCTGTAGGGATAACAACCAACGTCGCCGAGCGGCCGCAAAGATTAAACCATGAGCCTCAGTTTCCCTGTCTGCACCTACAGCAAGGGGGCTGGACCACTGCCCCTGGGTCTCTCCCCGGGGACACCCCAGGGTCCCACGAGCCCAGGTCAGACACCCTGGGAGGCGCCAGGCAGGCCCCACCACGCCCTCCACCCGCCACCCTAACCTGCATTTTGCAGCAGCCACCCTAGGATTGGCCCTTTCCTCTTTTAGCCTGGTCTGGAGTTCGTGGCAGGCAGAGGGGACCAAGGGCGGCACCCTGCAATTTCTCTCCCCAAGCGCCCCCGAGGGTGTCGGCGCTGCCCCGGGTCACCCCCAGCAGAAGGTCCTCAGACAGCCGCCTTCCTGAAATAGCCGCTGGGGTGGACCCCTAATTACTCTCACCCACAAATGAGAGGTTCTGCCCAGCTGACGGGAGGGAGGGATGGGGCTCAGAGAGATCCCTGCAGGGAACAGTCTGGGTTTCAGGAATGACCTGGGCTGCCCTGGCTGGGCCCAACATGCCCCTCTCAGCTGTGGAGTGAGCCCCAACCGCCCAGAGCTGTCAGAATGCTGAGCTCAGATGGGGAGGGAAAGATGGGGAAAATGAGGCTGAGAGGAGCGGGCTTTGCTGTCAGCAAGCTGAGTCGGGCCCAGAACCAGGCCTGCTGGCTCCAAAGCAGAGGGCAAACCAGATGGCCTTTCACCTCACAGGGCAAAGGGACACCAAATCCAGCTCCTGGACCAAGTGTAGAAAGCTGTGGCCCCCAGCTTGCTTTTCTAAATAAAGTTTTATTGGCTAAATGCCATGCCCACGTGTTTACGCATCCCCTGTAGCCGCTCTCAGACTACGGGGCAGAGCTGGGCTGTGGCAGAGACTGTGCGGCCTGCAGGAACTAAGACGTTTACTGTCTGGCCGTCTGCAGGCAGAGTCTGCCGACCTCTGAGCGGTGCACAGAGCAGACGCTGGGAGGATTTCGGGCCACTCCTCCTCCCAGCGTGGCTTCAGCTTGTTTCATGGTTGCGTGACTTGCGCACACGCACACACGAGGACAGGACTTGTCTTCCCTGTTCACCTCTGGTCCCCAGAGCCTCGCATGGTGACCACAGGCAAAAGGCTACGGATGACCAGAGAGAGAGGGGACGTGTGGACTCAGCCTCCCGGGGACAGAACGGTCCCGGGGAAAAAAGTGAATCTGAGCTGGTCCAGAGCGGGAGGCAGGAGAGGACCTCTCCGAGCTGGTCGGCTGGGGGGGTCTCAGAACTGAGCAGAAACACTGACAAGTCAGGGGAGGAGGCAGGGAGGGAGGGGGCCCCTGCACAAGGGAAACACTGCACGTGACAAGGCCCTGAGGTTGTTCTGGAGACCAGAGCAAGGCTCTCTGCTGGGGGAGGGCGGGGTTAAAAGTCCACTCATCCGAAAAAAGTGGGAAGGTGGGGCTCCCCCAGGACCAGAGCTCACTGGAGGCCTGTAACGCCACCCTGCCTGGGTCCAAATCCCAGCCCCTCCTTGCGCGAGTGTCCCAACTGCCTGGGCTTCTGGCCCTCGTTTATACACGGGCATGTTTTCCGTACCAACATCAAAGGACCAGCAGAAGGATTAAACTAATCACTCCATGCAGAGTTCTAGCAGAGGCCGGGCCCAGGGTATAATCCCTCTGTTATCTTAAAGCGGCGTCAATGGAACCATTTCTCCCTCCCCAGGACCATCTCACACTGTTCACCCGCCTCCCCTCCGACACACTTCTCCCTGTGGGAGGAGGAGGGATGTGTCTGAGGGGCGAGGCCCCGCCTGGCTTCCTCCCTCTCACGCTCACGGCCCGGCCATCCTCTGTCCCCGCAGACCCCTCTCCTCCCCTCCCAGGAGGCCCACGGACCAGGGCCACCCCACCCAGCCTCACTACCCACCCTGGGAGGCCATCTCCCACCCAGGAGTAAAGGCTTGGGAAGCCCATGGATTTTACCAGCCACCTCGGGCCCCACTAGACACCTGAAGTGGTCTCCGCATCAGTGCTGAACTGGGGATGGAGGAGGAGGGGAATTCACGAGCCAGCCCAAAGCCACAGCAATCCATGGGCCCACAGACCCAGCATCCACACCCACTGCCTTGCTGGGCAGCTGGCCAGCCTACCACTTGCTGTCTCTGGGCCTGTTTCCTCTCACTGAAACGTGCACCAGGGACCAGGGTCCCTGCCAGCAATTCTGTCTCAGGACAGACCCCCACCCCACCCCACCCTATCCCCTGGGGAGGCTGGGCTGAGGGGAGGGCTGGATTACCGTGATGCATGAAGCCATTGTTACACAGCCCCACACCAAGCGCCACCGCCTCCTCACGTGTCTGGCAATCACCCTGGAACAGAACGAGAAGGGGAAGGTGTTAGGTGGACCTGGCCCAAGGGGCTGAGCCAGGTGGAGAAAAAGCCCACTGCTACCCCAGGAAGGCAGACTCCACGAGAGCAGGGATGTGCCTCTGTCTTATTTACTGTGGTACCCCCAACCATGTCTGTGATTGTTATTTACAACTCCCAAATCAGAAAAATATTTAATTGTATGTTAATTATGTAAATGTAACAAATGCATGGAGTATCATGTGATAAATACCGCAAAAAGAGAAATGGAGATTTTATGTGGCAGACACTGTTGGTTGCCCAGCAACAACCCTCCCCCACTCCATCCAGCCCTGGTACTGAAACCCTCACTGATATAGATGGCAGTGCATCTATCTAGATAACCTCAGATCCCAGCCTCCTCTATAGCCAGTGGTGGCCAATGAAACACAAGCAGAAATCACTGACAGGGAACTCTAGAAAAACACTGTGTCCCTGGCCCTTCATATCTCTTCCTCCTGCCTGCCTGGAACACAGATGTGATGGCTGGAGCTCCTGCAGCCATCTTATATCACAATGTGGTCTGGAAAATAGAAACATACAAAGCAAAGCAGAGCAGAGCAAAAAGAAAGGGAGAGGGCGGTCCTCAAAGATATCATGAGATTGTCCCAGCAGCTCTGTCTCACCAACCTCCAGCCTTCTCTCATACTAAAGAAAAACAAACCTGTAATTGGTTTCAGCCTCTGTAGTTGGCTCTCTGATATTAAGAAATCAAGTTCAACCCCTAATTGACCTGGCTCTAGCCAATAAGACATCTGGGGAAGCCTACCAGGCAATCCTGGAAAATATCTTCCTCCCTAATAAAAGGGAAAAGCAACAGCACCCCTCCCTGCCTGGGATAAAGTTACATGAAGAAGTGATACAGTGACTGCAGGCCATGTCATGATCAAAGTGGCAGACTGCTGAGGATGACAGAGCGAAGGACAGAAGGTTCTTGATATGAGGTACTACTGATGTGCAGCATGTTATTTGCTTAGGCCAGTGTTCAGTTGCGTTTTCTGTTCTCGCAACTGAAAATACTCCTAAATTGGGGGTCTGGCTCATCTCAGACTTCCTGGAGGAAGTGACATCCAAACCGAAACTGCAGAATGAACGGGTGTGGCCAGTGTACTGGGCCCCTGGTGGGCCTGCCTCCAGGGCCAACTCTCCCTTGTGGAATGCCGCCTTGAGGGGAAGGTCCCTCCAGGCTTGCTACCGCCAACCCCTGGCCAGGTTTAGGGCACAGGGTCCAGGCAAGGCCAGTGCAAAGCCTCCCTGCCCAGAACACAACCGCTGAGCAGAGGAACCCAAGCTCAGGGAGCAGCTGGAGCCAATCCTGCCTGAGAGCGTGCCCTGGAGACAGTGCCCCATCGCGCCTCCTCCTGAGGAGCTGGGAGTTCCCTGGTGCCGGTTCCTTTTAAGGCCTGGCTCCGGGTCTCTCCTGACTCTGTGGGTGCTCCATGGCCTTCCCAGGAAGTCACTGTCTCTTTTTTATATTCCTTAAGTTAACCAGATTCTATTTTTGCTTCTTGCAACCCAAACGATGTCAGTATATCCAGGCAAAGTACGTGAACTGTGCGTGCATGGGAGGAGTGACAGGCAAAGGAGAGAGCGGGGACGGAGGTCCAGATGTGGACGGAGCCTGCGGCGCAGAAGCCAGCACGGCCCGCGAGGACAGGGCGCCCCGCCAGGAGAGCGCCTTGGCTCTGTGTGTTCTCTGCTGAATGCGAAGGGCTTGGAACAGAGCCTGGTGCACCGTGGGTGCTTGCTAAATACCTGCGGGTTGGATAAAGACGTGGTGAGCAAGGACCGACTCACCCAGGAGCTTGTAGTCAGGTCAGCGAGCTTCGCCTCCATTCAGAGCGCCACAGGGCCTACAGCCTCTCATTTAAACAACTGCCTGACACAGCCAGGCCAGCGGCCTGCACTTTGGGTGTATCCCACCCACCCTCAGAGCCCCCGGCCAGCAGCGGAGTGGCTGGGCTAAAGGAGAAATGAATTCAGAGCTGCAGGCCCCAGAGCAGAGCCTGGGGCAGCCGCTGGCCTCCTGTTTTGCTGCCCCAGGCTGACTCATGGATGACAAACCTGTCCTGTGGGACCTGGGGCTGGCGGTTCGAGGGCCGGCAGGCTCTGAGCCCTGCCGGGGGCGGGGGGCTGCCATCCATCCCAGAGGCCACAGCCACAGCCTGCCGCTATGAGGGGCCCAGGAGGTGGGCAGGCCCGGGTTGGGGCGTATGGCGGGCCGGGCTGACGTCTGGAGCCCACCTAGCTCTCTGAAGCTCTCACAACCTGGGCTCCCAACCCATCCCCTCCCCGCTTCTCCCCGAGGGCCCTGGGGTGACCCACGGGGCAGCTGCAAAGACCCCAACAGCAGCGGGGTCCTCCAGTCAGGAGTGAAATACACCAGCCCTGCACGTGCCCCCCGACCTGAAGAGTAAGCCCCCACCCACGTCCCGCCAGCCGTGAGGAAATCGAAAGTCACAAGCCCCAATTTTCTCCCCACAGGGTAATAAACCTCTCCACCCGCATCCCCCTGCCCCCTGAATGGCCCACCAGCCCCCTGGCTCGGGGGGCTCCAGCCACACTAACGGCCTTGAGGGTCAACCCAGGGGCAGCTGCTCTTATTAACCTCGTTTGGCAGGTGAAGACACTGAGGGACCAACAGACGTGGCACTGGCCCAAGGGCACAGCTTGAGAATGGAATCCTCTTACAGCAGGGTCTGCCCTCCAAGTTACAAACAGGGAAACTGAGGCTCCAAGAGGGGAGGAGAGCTGCCCAGGGTTGTGGCCAGGGCTCCTGCCCTGTCCTTGTTTATCCTGTTTCTTCTGCTGGTGCCTTGAGCTGACAGACCGCCCTTTGCCTGCTCCCATCCAAGCCCTGCCGCCCCAACCCCCGGGCACTGGAACCCCCGCCTCGGCCAGCATCACCATCTGCCTGGCCGTGGGGTCAGCGTGGCGGGCACTCGGGCACATTTCTGCAGAGCCGGCACAGCAGCCAGCAGATGCCAGCCTCCCGCAGCACCTGGCTCCTGGCCTGACCTGCTCTCTCCTGTCCCACCCACTGCCCCCCACTCTCCTTTTGACGGCCGCAGCCTAGGGCGTCCTGGAGCCCAGGCAACACAGACCAAAAATAGCGAGCACAGAGGGGAAGAGAGCAAACCTGAAGCTGGTGTCCCCGCATTCAAACCCCTGCTTGGCCAAGCCGTGACCGTGGGCAACCCCTTCACCTCTCCAAGCTTCAGGTCCTCATTTGTATTTTTTTAATCCCTGGATTTGCTCTTGACTTTCCAAGGCCTCTGCCACCCCTCAGTGGTGTTCCCTGCTCAGATTCCAAGTACCGGTTATAATCAATAGAGGCGGTATTACTACTATCTCTATTATTATTGTGACTACCAAGGCACCATGAAAGTCCCTGTCACACACACGCACAGTCTTATAGGGGTACCCCATTTCTGTGTGTCCTGAGGCAAGTTATAAAACCTGAGCCTCAGTTCCTTCATCAGTAAAATGGGGATAACAACTGTTCTTCTGAAGATTAAATGAGATAATACACAGAGAGCAGAACTGATGCAATATGTAGCTTGTCAATCAAAGGACTAGTACCTCCCTCATTCTCAGAGCTAAAAGAACTCTGATTCATCCAAGGAGTTGGTAGGGAGCCTCAAGGAAGGAATTCTAAGGAATTCTAAGCCACCCTCAGCCATCCTTGTCATCTTCCCCAGGGAGTGGTTTATAGGTGTATGTGGGACCCACCTGGCCATGAGACCAAGAGGAAGACTACTTGGGAAGGGACAGGACCAGAGGAAGTGTCCTCCCCCAATAAACAGAGTGAGAAAGCTCTCTTCACCTGTCCCTGCTGCCTGCCTTTGGCCATAGGTCTATATGGATGTGATATCTGGAGCTGTGGCAGCTGTCTTATGACAATGAGGCAGCGGGCAAGGTGGTAGAACAAAAATATGGAAAGAGCCTGGGTGTAAATGGCATTGTTGAGCTCTAGGATCATGAGCTCTGGATGTCTAGTTACATCAACAAAAACAAAACAAAACAAAATGCCTTTACTGTGTAAGTCAAGTTTCTTATTATGTGCAGCCACAAGCATTTCTAGATGATCAAGGAGGTTTCAACCAACATTTCGTTTCAAGGAGCAGAATGATCTAGAAGTTAGAAATGAAGAGGTGTTCAAAGCAAAATAACCCTCCTGAACTACACAATTATATGTTTTCTTTTTGACCTTCCTGCCAAGGTACAAGGTGGGGATGACTCTAATTAAGACTTGCCATAACCAGTCTTCAAGGTCACATCCTCATCACCAACCTCTCCCATGCAGAGAGACCCATACGCATACCATCCTCTCCTTTCCGTGACCTGGAGCCAGATGCCAGCTGTCTTTTGGTCAATCTCATGGAAGCCATCCTGTGTCAACTCCAATTAGCTTCCCTGTGTCCCCAGACCAGGCCAAGCAATAGGAGGCCTGCTGAAGTGGACAGAGGGTCAGCTGCAAACTTTACTCCACCATCCTCCCCTTGCCGCCACTGCAACAGGATGCTGGGGGATGGAGGGGGGGGCATTCTCAGGACCCACTGACAATGACTCGGGCTATTCCGGGGGGCCTCGGCCAGGAACACAGCTAATCTGACAGCACTGGCCAAGAGCAGGTCCCCACTGCGCCTGACATCAATCACAAACAGAAACCAGCAGACGCACTTGCTCTGGCTAGTTCTCGACTCCTTGCTGGAGTGCTCCAGGTCACAGCCCTGAGCCTCCCCGGCTTGGTCAAGGACCCTGGAGTTCTTCAAGACTCCTCTCTCAACCCTCGCCCACAATCCATCCATCGAACAGCAGACTCTGTTAGGTCTACCTTCAAAATATTCCAAAACCTGACCACGTTTCCTGCCTCCTCCAAGGCCACACCGTTCTCAGGAGAGTTCTCATGCTCCCCTGCCTTGTACTTCTGAATCTGCCTCCTCGCCGGCTGGTCTACTGCCAGTCTCATCCCCCAACAGCCCCAAGATCTTATTCCACCAAAATCAGCTGCTGTCCCATCTGCGCTGGGAGCCCTGCAGTGGCCCGAGCCCTCCCAAGAGGCCATGCGAGATAAAGCACATGCTCTGGGCTGGCTTCAGGGGATCCGAAGGAGGGGGTGGTGTGCTACAACGGCTAGCAGCTCTGTGCTTCTGAGCCATGCAACTCTATAAATTCAAATCCAAGGTCATTTAAAGACCTCCCACGTTCTGGGGCCCCACATCCTAACAAACATATTTTAAAATGCACCCATGTCCTACATTAAATACATTTTGGGGGTTTGACAAAGTTTTTTCAAGGCATTTTCTAAGCTTGCTTTTGAAGTGATTTGACGCCAAGAAGGCTTTACTTTACATAGATTGGCTCTGACTTCTAGGCAATCATCAGCAATTTGTTCGGCAAGAGAAAATCCAGGCAGTAAATTGTTTTCGAATGGAATGAAGTTTCTATGAATGGGAAACTTAACAATTAATGAGGCTGCCATAGAGCTGTACTCTATAAAAGTTTAAACATGTATCCATTTCAATTTCACAGTCTTCTCCTTGTCTTTGGAGCCAGTGCATTCTTCTTATGAACTATGAATGAAGGTTCTTGCAGGCTCCCTGAAAAGTCTGCAGAACTGAGGCATGAGGGGATAAGATGGGCCCACCCAAGTTCTAGCTATGCTGCTGCCAGGTTGTGTGCCCTTGACTAGGCACTTGGACCCTCTGGACCCCAGTTCCCCATCTGTAAATGGGGTGGAGGACTCAGTGAGACAATGCACAAAAGCCCAGACAGGCCCTGGCCCAGAATAAGCATGCTGTGAACAGGAGCCACCAACTGTGAGAAGCAGGCAGGTAGGAGTGTTCACAGCACCTCAACAGAACAATCGCCTTGGGGTAGTTGCAGCAAAAGTGGCTCATAGATTTTTCCAAGACTCTGCCCAGCCCCTGCTCACTGGGGACCTGTGTGAAAGGAATAACCTGACAAGCCCCACCTGGAGGCTCTGGTTTGGTGCCAGGATGGAACCAACTTGTCCCAGTTTGCCCGGGATCATCTCATGTCTAAAACAAAAAGCCTCAAGGTGGCAGTCACCCCACTGTCCCTTGACTGACAGATAAAATGTGCTCTATCCATGCAACAGAATATTATTCAGCCTTTAAAAGGAAGGAAATTCTGACACAGCCTGCAAAGTGGATGAACCCTGAAGACTTTATGCGGACTGAAACAAGCCTGACACAGAAGCACAAATACTGCCTGGCCCCCTTACACAGGTTTCCCTGAGCAGGCCAACTCAGAGAAAGCGGAAGGGTGGCTGCCAGGAGCCAGGCAGCGGGGAGTCACAGGACATTACTGTTTAACGGGGACAGAGTTTCAGTTTTGCAAGATGGAAAAAGCCCTGGAAGTGGATGGTGGTGATGGTTGTGTAATAATGAACTTAAGGCTACTGGACTATACACTTAAAAATGGTTAAGATGGTAAATGTTATCTTATGTGTTTGCCGATGTGCTCAGTCATGTCTGACTCTTTGTGACCCCATGGGCTATAACCCACCAGGCTCCTCTGTCCATGAGATTTCCCAGGCAGGAATACTGGAGCAGGTTGCCATTTACACTTCCAGGGGATCTTCCCAAGCCAGGAATCAAACCCAAGTCTCCTGTATTGGCAGGCGGGTTCTTCACCACCCCACCATGTGGGAAGCCCATATTATGTGTATTTTACCGCAATTTAAAAAACAATTTTATGGAAGGGGGGTTCAGGATGAGGGGACACATATACACCTGTGGCTGATTCATGCAGATGCATGCCCAAAACTGCTACAATATTGTAAAGTAATTAGCCTCCAATTAAAATAAATAGATTAATGTTTTAAAAAATAAAAAGACAGTTGGACAGAAAAATAATAATAATAATTTTTAAACAAATTTTTAGGAACTTCCTAGGTGGTCCCGTAGCTAAGACTCCACACTCCCAACACAGGGGGCCCAGGTTCGATCCCTGGTCCAGGAACTAGATCTCACAGGCTGCAACTAAAGACCCTGCATGTCTCAACTGAGATCCGGTGCAGCCAAATCAATCAGTAAAATTTAAAATGAAAGCTTTTTAAACCTTAAAGGCCCACATCCTGGTCAGCCCCTCCGCTCCGGGTCACACCCGCTCAGGGGAGCTCTCACCTGGGCCAGGAGCCAGTCCACCAGCTTGCTCCCAGGCAGCACAGACTTATATGTCTTCAGGTGGTAATCGCGGTCCCTGTGGAAAGGAAGCCGGCCGTGAGCCGATCGGGCAGGAGGGAGGGCAAACAGTCCCGAAGTCCCTGCTCAAAGCGCTCGGGGTCCAGGGACTTCCAGATTCTCCAGCCACGGGTCAGAGGCCGGGGAGTCCGGCCGGACCCGCCCCTCACTCACAGCGTCACCTAGAGCAGGTCTGTCCCAACCCAGGACCCCATCCTCAGGCGGCTCTAAGGCTTCGGAAAAGCTCCCCAGCCTGGGGTTCTCCAGCAGGGATGACTATGCCCCCCACCCCCACAAGGGATGCTTGGCTGTGTCTGGTGACATTTTTGGCTATCATGACCTGACCACGGTCGGGGGGGACTGGAGGTACCATCAGCATCTAGCAGGTAGAGACCAGATGCTGCCAAGCACTCAAAACTGCCCAGAACAGCTCCCAAACAAGGAACGATCCCGCCCAAGACGTCAAAAACGCTGAGCCTGCGGAGACCTGATTTACTCTTGAGTAGCAAGAGAAACTTTCAGTTCTTCCCTTTTTTCTTTTGTTTCATCATTGACATCCTTGCGTCTAAAGGTAACAAAACTATGTCGACATGGAAACATCTGTCCAGGGGCTGGAGTGGGCAGTCAGGACCAAGCAGGGAGCAGGGGTCTGTGACGGTCCTGGTTCTCCACTCTGACCTTTCGTAGTGTCTAATTCCTGCCAAGTTGTGGTAGGAAGGCTTGTGCGGATCTTGCAGCCAAACCACAACAGCTCAGCTTCTGAAGCCGACACAAACGGGTTTCTGTGGCCAGGCCTGTTGGGGCTGAGAAAGGCCGGTTTGGAGAGCTCTTCTCGGGAGCTGGGGAGCCCGGCAGGGCACGTGTGCGGTACCTGGGACCTGGGGCCGGCCCGGCCACTTCCTCCTCCGGGGGCGGATGGAGGGGCCCCTCCTGTGAGTTCTGAGCTGGACCGGGCCGGCCCACCTGGCTTCCAGGCCTGCGCAAAGGGGCTCCCTGGGCCTCACCTCCAAGGGGAGAAGACCCTTCCTCTCCGCTCCTGAGAGGTGATAAGTGCTGTCACAGGGGGCAGAGGCCTCTGCAGCTGGTAAGGATCACGTCACCCTCCCCGGCCTGCATCCACAGCCATAAGCTCCACAGTACAGACAACCACAAATCACGGGCACGGACACAGCCCTCACCATGTACCGGGCGCCACTCAGATTCACTCCTCGTCACTCAGATTCACACTCCAGGGGTGTGAGCTACGCTTATGCCCATTCCACAGATGCACAGAGGCAAAAGAAGCTAGTTACCTTTCAGCCACCACTCAACAAATATTTACTGAGGGCTCCTTTGCCCTGGACCAGCACTCTCCAGTATGTGGCTGTTTTCCAATCAATCAATGTTACATCAGAGTTCAGATTACACTCTTCAGTCTCAAGAGAGTGAACGTACGTGTGACCAGTGGCCACGGCCTTGGGCAGCATGGGTACAGAGTGCTTCTACCAGTGCGGGAAGTTCTACTAGCCAGCGCCTCTTTGGGTGCTGCTGAGGGTTTGGGGACACAGCAGTGAGCAAATTCCCTGCCTCCGGTAAATGTAGAATTCAGTGGGGGAAGACAAGACAGTATACAGACCAAGAAATAAATATAGAGTATGTCAGCCACTGACAAGCTTCAAGAAAACCAAAATGAAGGAAGGAGGGTGGTATGTTCCAGGTGTGATATTTTAGAAAGGTGGTCGGGAAGGACCCTCTGACTTCGGGACATTTGAAGGAAGGAAGGGAGCAGATAGGTAGGGAAAGAATATCCTAGGCAAAGAGGACAGCAAGTGCAAAGGCCCTGGGATGGATCCTATTATTATCCCCATTCCACAGGTGGAAATAGCTGCTAACCAGCTCGCAGGCTGAGATCCAAACTCAGCCTGTCTGACCCCAGAACTAACACCCTTCACCACCACGTTGCAGTGTTTCCCAACAGATTAACTCACTTGACCCTCATGACAAATCTACAGGGTAGGTGCAGTTATGAGTCCGATTAGATGGAGAAGAAGACCGAGGCCCAGAGAGGTTAAGTTACTGGCCCAAGCCCATACAGCTGAGAAGGGGCAGAGGTGAAGCTTGGAGAGAGTAACTTACTTGATCACAGGGGTGTAAAGGCTGTGGAGACGGCAGTAAAGCCTCACACCCTGAAAGAGAAAAAGGGGGAGTCTGGGATCAGGCCACATTCTCTGGGGGGCCTGCAAATCCCGGCTGATAGGAGGGTGTGGGGAGCAGAGGGGGGCTGGCGGGGGCAGTGGGGTCCAGACTGTGGGTCAGGGCGGAGGGTCCGCACCTTGGACATGATGTCCTCCAGCTCGCTCCGGGCCTTGTAGGTGCCGTCATCATAGCGGAAGCGGTACATCACCTGCTCGTTCTTGAACTGGTGCTTGTCAGAGACTAGAAGGACCCAGGGCTGGTGAGCCCAAGTGCAGCCCCTCGGCCCTTCCCAACCCACACCCCCATCCTCACCCTCCACCCAGCCAGGCTCCATGCTAAGTGCAATTTCACCAAACCCCCTGCCCACGCTCCAGCTGCAAACTAAAACTTCAATGGTTCTTGCTATTCTTTGCAGGGACAGAGAGAAAATTCTCCTCCCTGCCCGTAACTTTACGAGGCCACCTTGCTTTGTGGGTGCCCCAAGTGAGTGCTGGATCTTCCAGCCCTGTGAGCAGTTTTATAAGGGCAGCCACGTCCCCGGGCCCACTCTGCATCCAGGGAACAGGCAGCCGCACAGCAGAGTAGAAATGGCCTCTGGGTTAGTTCTGCACACGGCTGCTGAGGTCTGACCTGCCTACCCCTCAGCCACCCAGACCCAGGACCCACTCACCATGGTGGATAATACCATTCTCCAACAAGGCTTGGCCCAGGTTTACTCCTTCTTCCGTCTTGCTGATTTCACCAATTTCTAGGAGCCAGGCAACAAACTCACTGCCAGAAATATAAGATGCAGTTGAGAGGGCCACCCCCATCCTGGGACCATAGCTGCCAGCACTGAACTGGCCTGATCCCACCCACTCTCAGGAATGACAGCCAGAACTGCCTATGGGGAAGCAGAGCTCAGGCTCAGGGTTCCTGCTGAAAAATGAAAGTTAAGGTGGAAGTCGCTCCGTCATGTCTGACTCTTTGCGACCCCAGGGACTATACAGTCCGTGGAATTCTCCAGGCTGGAATACTGGAGTGGGGAGCCTTTCCCTTCTCCAGGGGATCTTCCCAACCCAGGGATCGAACCCAGGTCTCCCGCATTGCAGGCAGATTCTTTACCAGCTGAGCCACAAGGAAGCAGGGGTTCCTGCTGAGGCCGGATGTTTCTCCTCAAGACCAATGGCAGAGAGGTGGGTGTGAGCAGACCTCAGGCCCCGCCTCAGGCTAACTGGATGGATGGATGGAAGGATGGAAGGATGGATGGATGCAAGGGAAGAGGGATGGATGGATGGATGCAAGGGAAGATGGATGGATGGAAGGATGGATGGTTGGATGAAGGATGGGAGGAAGGATGGGTGGATGGGTGGAGGAATGAAAGGATGGACACACCAGTGGATAAATGAATGAAAAGTGAGTAGATAACTAGATGATTCAACAGGTAAATGACTAAGTGGCTGGGGAGCTTAGTGGGTAGGTGGGTGGAGGGGAGCAGGAATGAATGGATGAGTAAGTGGAGAAATTATGGTAGATGGGGGCGGGGCGGGCAGGTGGGAGATGGATGATGGCTGGATGGGTGAACAGACCGAAGGAATGAAGAAACCAATAAGCGGGAAGAAATAAGGACCCAGAAAGATAACTGTAGAGAGTCAGGAGAGATGATGATGACCAAATCATGTCATTCTCCCACTGAAAACCCTCCAATGAGCTGCCTAGTTACTCTCAAAAAAACATGCAAATTCTGCCCACGTGATGACAAGGCCCTGCGTGAACTGTCCCCTCATCTCTGTTCTTTTCACTTATTCTGCTTTACCGCAGCCACCGTCGTCTTCCACGCTTACAAAACATGCCAAACTCCTGCTTGCCTTAGGGCCTTTGCACTTGATGTTCCTGCTGTCAAGACACACCCTTCCCCAGCTCTTCACATAGCCCTTCTCTTTCATCTTTACGTCTCAGCTCAAATATCACCTCCTTGAAGAAGGCTTCCCCAACCACCTCATCAAAACACCCGACCCCCACACAAACCATCCCATCTTTCAGTTATACTTCCTTTTTAGCACTCATCACTGGAGTCGTACCCTTTACAGATTTGTGGATGCGTTTATCAGCTGTCTCCCAGAACCAGAATGTCGTCTCCATGCTGATGGAGACCTGTTGTCTAATTCACAGCTCTACGCCCCCGGCACCTGGAAGCGGAGCCCAAGCACAGCAGGGCAGAGCAACCTCGTGAACAACCGAAGGAATGAGCCATTCAACAAGAAGGGACATTCTGGGGGAAGCAGGAAGGCCTCAGCAAGAAAGATGTGCTCGCAAGCCCAGAGGAAATGAGGCAAATCCAACGTGACTACCCAGTGGGGCAGGGGCTCAGCCCAGACTCCAGGTCCCAGCTCTCGGAGGAATGTTCCGGGCTCCACGCAGAGCTCAGCCCAGTGGAAGTCAGCAGGAAAGGGGAGAGCTGCGGACGCAAGGCAATCTGTACTCAATGAAAGTGGGTGGCAGTTGGCCAGAGCACGGAGCTTATCGAAACCAGCTGTTCTGCCTCCAATTACAGGGCCAGCGGGGAGCAGGGCTATTTTTAGCTTTCCAGCGTTTGGCGGAGCAAAGACCTGTCTTATGTGTAGATAGTGGGGTGTGCCGAGGCACTCAGGGAGCCCCAGCACAGGCCAAGGCGGGCGTAGACGAAACAGATCTATTCTGCGGAGCGGGAGCCCCAAGTGAGTAAGAGATTGTTCTGGGTCCTGTCCGCCCCCGGCCCGATTCCCCAAGTCCCCAAAATCAGCAGCAGAAAGAAAGCTGCCGGCAGCTGGGGGAGGCAAACAGATGTGGAGTGCCCACTCTTGGAAGCTGAGACTTGGCTGCCAGCTGCCCACCAGCTGTCCCCTCGGGGGCCACCTCTGCCCGGACCGGCGGCCCTGCGGCCAGGGTGGGGGAGAGACAGGAAGCCCCCTGCAGCAGCTGCTAGCGCAGAAAAAGGCAGCCCAGACAACAGAGGAGCCGAGACTCAGCTTTCTGCCCCCAGTTGAGTCTCGAGCTTTTTTGAGGACCAATGTGCTGGGCAGATTTGGGCAAATCGCTGTCCCTCTCTGGGCCTCCAAAGGGTCCATCTGGCAAGTGGTCCATTCAGGGACCCTCTGGATTTTGTCAGTAATTTTTGAATCACACTGAATCTTGAGCTGGGGTCCAGGGTTCAAAACCAGACACCATTCACCTCTAATGCAGGGACCCTGACCTCTTGTAAATGAGTAAAAAGGGCCAGGTGGAAACTCTGCTGAGCCAGCCAGCACTTCCGGAGACGCAGCCACTCAGGGCGGCCAACCGTGGCCACATGGGAAGACTAAAGCATCTTATGACTTTTCAAGAGAAGCCAGAAATCCAGCGTTTCCTGTGAAATCTCCCAACTGTTAAATGTGGATACTGAATACCACGTTTTATGGAAAACGCGTCTGCAAACCACACTGGGTCAGCGGGACATTGTCTGCCTCCACGGGGGTGCAGGGAAGAGAGTGCAGGCAGGAGGATCAGCCTCTGAGTGAGAAGAAAGGTTCGGAAGCCAGCCGGCCGCCAGTTGGTGGGGGCCAGGGCACGAGGAGCAGCGAGATCCAGTCTTCCAGAAAGACGTAACTGGATGCAGGGTGGGGGGCGCTGGGGACGCAGGGAGCAGATCGGCCCACGTGGACAGGAGCCGGAGATTCACGGAACGGGGGCCTAGCTGAGAGTTGGCATGCGTCAGCCTTCATCGCTCTTCCTTCCTGCCCCACTATGTCATGCCCCAGTAAACATGGGTTTCACCTACTGTCTGTCAAGTCCAAGGCTGGGCACGGAGGACACACAGGCACGCCTGGCAATCTTCCCGGGAAGGTCCCTGGGTGAGGGCCAGTGTCCGCTCACTCTCAGTATGAGAATCCCATTTCTCTTGTTCATCTCCTCCATGGCCTTGAGCTCCATGAGGGCAGGAACTGGTGGGGGGGTGGGTTATGTTCACCCCTGTGACTCCACGGTCTGAAATGCTTCCGGGGGCTGTCTGCAGCAATGCCTGGCAAATCATTATTTATCACCTACTAGGTATTGACGGGGCTTCCCTGGCGGCTCAGGGGTAAAGACTTCGCCTGCCAACATAGGAGATGCAGGTATCTTGATCCCTGGGCTGAGAAGATCCCCTGGAGAAGAAAATGGCAACCCACTCCAGTATTCCTACCTGGGAAATCCCATGGACAGAGGAGCCTGGCGGGCAATAGTGCATGAGATCGTAAAAGAGCTGGACATGCCTTAGCAACTAACAACAATCGTGCACTGATAATGGCAGTAAACTGCCTCACAGTGTCACGCGAAGATGAAAAGGCATGGCCGCGTGGCCGCACCCGGAGCAGAGAGGGGCTGCCTGACCATGTCCCTAGGGCCGCTGGTTCCTTCCACCTGAGAGGACCCGGGTCCCAGCCGAGAAGAAAGAGGACCGTGGTCCCGGGCTGGGGGCAGAGCAAAGCCTGCAGGGAGGTGAGTTCCATTAGCATGATGATAAACAAGCTTTAGTCCTGGCCCTGTTTCAAATGGGCAATGAAAGAAATCTCCCTAATCCTTCCTGAGGAGACAGAACACTGTTGAAGCTCTAATCATAGACCAGTTATCCCGTCTGGCTGGACTAAGCTCTCCGAAGGGTCCGTCAAGGGGCGGGGAGGGCCTCTGACCCTGGGGGCCGGAAGCACACCTCTCCTAAGAGAAAAACCTCCTTTCTTGCCCAGGGATTAGGAGATTAGCTGATGGAGACCAACCAGGCTGCCCCTTCCAGGCTTCACGCAGGTCTGGGGCCCACACTCGCCCCTCCACAAAGCCTCCCAGGGAACGTGGAGCCAGATCACTGACCTGAGAACAAATCCCGACTCAAAGGCATTGCTGCCACCTCTCAGGGTCTCAACGACCCCTAAGGCCCCCTGGCTGCTGCCAGGCCAAGACCCCTACCCCACCCCCTTCCCCAGCTTCACACTCTTGTCTCCAACTGCCCATCCAACAACCTTTCAATATCTTTCAACATGCAAATGTCTACGGGGTGTCTCAACCTTATTAACACGTCCAAACCGGGGTTCCAAGTCTCCAAGTCTCCACCCCTTTCCCCACCTGGCTTCCAGGTCACCGCACTCACCCGTGTGCCTCCCGCCTCTCTGCCAGCTTCCTCTGTCTCCTTTGATAGTTGCTCCTCACCCCCAGGGCCCAGTCCGTCCCTACCTCATTTCTTTCCGGCCCTCTTTCTACTCATCCCCTTGCAGATTTCATTCAGTTTCATGACTTTGGAAAAACCATCTAAACGCCCACACGCCCTGCACTTAGATCTCCAACTCAGACTCTTCTCCCTGAGTCAAGATTTCATATCCACCTAGCAAGCTGACATCTCCATCTGGGGGCCGGTCTCTATATGAGCATCCAAACATCCCCTGGGCTGTACTCCACCCCCTGAAACCTCCCTGAGTCTCCCCACCAACTTCTCAGCAAGCAGCCATCCGCCCTTCCAGGTGCTCACAATCCTTAATTCCCTTCCTCCCTCACCCCGTCAGCAAATGCCATCACCTTCAAGATGACCCAGAATGTGACACTCGCCCCCATCTCCACGGTGACCACCCTAGACCCAGTCACCTCTCCCTTGGTCTATGATAACAGAATAATTCCAGGGACGCAAGTGGGGTGTAAGTTAATGAATTCTAAACAGAACCCCAGCTTCACAGGCAAGCTTCTCTCCCCACAAGCTTTGTGGGGCCCCAGGCATTCTCCTACCCTCTCCAGAGCGCGGCCACCAGGTCTAACACACAGCGGGGCCTGGGAACAACTGGAGGATTTTACAGAGACTGCAATTCTTCTGCTTCTCCCAATCCCCAGCCCGCTCCCCCAGGTGAATGAGATTTAAACCTGGGTTTAGGATCCAATCCCGACTCACCTGCATTCTGGCCCTTTGATGCTCGGTTATAAAATAGCGGCAGGGGCAATAACATTTTATTATTAGGAAATAATGTAGTTCCCAAACAGGGAAATTGGAGGCCCCAGCTACTGAAAGTCATAGGCGACCTGCCTCCCTTATGCATCTCCGGAAGGGAGGTCTTACCAGACACACACCCAGCCAACACCTCGATCTCAGACTTCCCGCCTCTAAAACCGTGAGGAAATACATCTCTGCTGTTTCAGCTACTAGACTCTGGGACTTTGTTAGGGCATCTGAACAGACTAATTCAAAGGTCTACATTTGCTCTTCCGGCCCTCCCAAAACCTCTGAAATCAACTCTCTGCATCAAATACCTCTTTGCTTGACATAGCTACAGGGGCTTCTCTTTGCTTAATTGCTAGAGGAGCGTTTTTCAACCCATGGTGGGCAACCCGCTCAGAGTCTGTGAGAGTCTCACTCAGCAGTATTTTTGAAATGAAGAAATGAGTAGAACAGAATAGACACAAATACTTGTAGGTGTATCAGGTACAGTAACTGTGAAACTTTGGCTTCAATCATACAGTTAATGGATTGTATGTGTGTACCCGGTCACAATACCAACCTTACATTTTGCACTGAGCCATGGTCAAAAACATCTGAAAGACCTGATACGGGGACCTCACTGTGCCTGACCTCCAAGGGCTGTTCCATAAGTGTTGAGGGTGCTTTAGTGGCTCTGCCCAGCGGGGCTCCCGAGGGAAGGGGCAGAGCTGGGAAAAGCCAGGTGAGTGCAGATGGTCTGCCCACCTCCAGCCGAGGCCCAGGACCCAGGGGAGGGCAGGGTGGAGGCACTCACTTGCCGAGGAAGCACTTGGGGACGGTGCTCAGTTTTCTCCGACGGTCCTTGATGAGGTTCACCTTCTTGTTCATCATCATGTGGTACAGCTTCTCCCCCTTCTCCGCGATCATGACGTAGGCGTCGCGCTCCATGCCCAGCTTCAGGCCTACGGAGGAGGCACGGTCAGCACCAGGCACTGGTAGCAGCGGGGACAGGCCTGCAGACCCCGAGAGCCTGTCTCCAGCTGACCCCCACTGCCACCAAGAATCCCAGGACGACCAACCGCACTGGCACCACCTTGGGCAAGTCTGCTCCAGTAGCCCTCAGTCTTCCCATGTCTAGTGGGCTGAGCCAGATAAGCTGAGCTCCCACCGGTTATCACAGTCGCAGAGCTCCTACCCCTTCAAAGGCCTGCTTTTTGGTAGGTGGCCCCGATCTCTCTGGAAAGGAGAGACACAGCTCTGTCCCCAGACACAGCTCTCACTCGACAGGAGGGATCAAACTGGGGGAAGCCATATACGCTCCCGGATGCGGGAAAGCTCCCCGGCCACGCACTCTCGCGCTGCTCCCGCTCGCGGATGATGGCGTCCAACCACTTTTGCTTCTCCTCCGCCGTCTTGGCCATGCAGACAAACCACTTGTTCTTGGCCGTGTTGTGGATCTTCCAGCCGTTGGTGACGGTGTAGCCGTTGCTGTGATAATCCGCTAGCGGGGGCAGGAGGCAAAGAGAGGAGGTCAGCAAGGACTCAGCCATACAACTCAACATTCACCATTACTGCCTGTCTCCTTCGTGCAATTTAGGTTGCTTAAAACCCTAGTGCAGGGGCTTCCCTGATGGTCCAGGGGTTAAGAACCCGGCTGTCGATGTAGGGGACCTGGTTTGGATCCCTGGTCCGGGAAGATTTCACATGCCATGGGGCACCTAAGCTGGTGTGTGCCATAACTACTGATCCTGTGCTCCAGAACCCAGGAGCCACACTACTCAGCCCATAAGCTGCAACTCCTGAAGCCCGTGCTCCGCAAGAAGTGGAGCCACCACAGTGAGAAGCCCACGCAGCAGCGGGGAGCCTACCTGTCCCGTCCTCCACGTTCTCCACCTCCATGACCTCAGTGTTGATTCGGCCCCGGAAGATGTACAAGGAGCCGTTGATGGATTTGGTCCTCTTGGTGGATTTCTTGCCCCCCGTGACCCTGAAAGACAGCGGGAAGTCAGCATCCCCTTCCCATCCCCTCCCCGGGCCTCAGTCGTCTTCAACAGGGTGAACGGGAGCAGGACAGTAACAGAAGGACACCCGGGGACAGGAGCAGAGCAGGAACTGGCTCCGAAGCGTGGCATTTTGGCTGGTGCTGGGGTGACTTGAGCAAGTCACTTTTCCACTCTCAGCCACAGCGTCCTCATCTGGAAAATGTGCTAATAACCTTGCTGACCTCCCAGAGCTACTTTTGAGCCAACAGGAGATATGGATGTGAAACCAATAAGAAGCAATAGAAACCCCACTCTTCTAAGGCTAGAAAATGGGTAGAGGCTCTCAGGGTGTCTAACAAATAGGAACTTCCTGAAATAAAACCAGAATGGAAAGGAACTCCATTTCTACCTGAAGAAATCTGCACCTACCTACCTACCACTGATTCACACGCTCAGGTGAATTCTCACACACCTACTTAGTCACTCGACAAACCATCTGACCAGCACTTCCTCTAGGAAGGCTACCACGGTGGGATCAGGGCATTCACTCACCCATGCATTCAACAGGTGATCAAGAGAATACCTACCAGGCACTATTCTAGGTGCTAGGGCTGCAGCAGGGAACAAAACGTAGTCTCTGAGACTACATCTTCCAATATGGGAGGGCGGGAGGCACCCCCAAAGCTCTCCATCATTCCCCCTTCCAGCTCCTACCCCCTGCAAGATTAACCACTATCCTGATGTCAAACCTCATGGATTCACTTTGCTGTTTTGGAACTTCACATTCACGGAATCACACAGGGTGATGGTGATGGACATTTGGGTTGGCTTCAGTTTGGTGCTCTGCCTTATGTTCTGGCACGTGTCTTATGAAGAACATACGTGTGCATTTCTTTGGGTTATCTACCTAGGAGTTGAATTTCTCAGTTATAAGGAATGCCCACAACTGGCTTTGGTAGATGCTGCCAAGCCATAACAATTATCCCACCCCCAGCGGCATACAGACATTCCAGTTGCTCCACCGTCTCCATAACTGGTATTGAATTTCTCATTCTGGCCATTCTGGTGGCAGAGAGGAGTGTCTGTAATAAAGATTTCATCTGTATTCCCCTGGTGAATAATGAGGCTGAGCACTTTTTCATGTTTATTGGCCATCTGGTGTCTTCCATTTGTGAAATGACTGTCCTTTGACCATTTTTCTGTTGGGCTGTCTTTTTCTCAATGATTCATAACAGGGCTCAGCAGATTTTCTTCTGAAAAGGAACCAGCGTGTAAATATTTTCAACTGGGTGGGCCATATGGCCTCTGTTACAACTACTGAACTCAGCCCTTGAGGCATGAGTGCATCCACAGACAACACAAAAATGAATGGGCATGGCTATTTGCCAATAAAACTTTATTTATAAAAATAGGCAGAAGGCCAAAGTTGGCCTATATATTAAGGATAGGATTGCAAAGTGATAGCAAAGATCTTCTCCTCTGTGGCCTGGCTTTTTATTCTCTTCTTGTTGTCTTTCAAGGAACAAAAGTTCTTAATTTTAATGTAGTCTGAAAATCTATTTTTCCTTTATACTTTCTGTACAATTTAAAAAATCTTTGCTTACCCCCCAGATCATGAAGACAGACTCCTATGCCTTCTTCTAGAAGCTTTATTGTTTTATTGTTCACATTTAAATCAATGATCCACCTGAAGTTGACTTTTGTATATCATATGAAGGATCAAGACTCATCTTTTTCCCTCTGGATATCAAACTGACCCAGCACCATATACTGAACCGAACTGGTACTTGTGTTGAAATTTAAATGACTGCTTTCACATAGGTCTATTTCTGGACTCACTACTGCACTCCATTAATCTGTCTGATTTTACACCAAAACTACACTGTCTTAATTACAGCAGCTTTACAGTAAGACTTGGTCAGTAATCAAAGTCCTCTATCTTTGTCCCCCTTCAAAACTGTCTTAGCTGTCTTTGTCTGTTTGTGTTTCCATGTAAACTTTAAAAATCATTTACGTACATAGACACACAACCTCCCTCCTGCAATTTTTATCAGAATCACATTGAGGTTCTAGCCAACGTCTGATAAGAGAATGCAAAGCACTTGATGGTGATGTGGAGGGTGAGGCAGGTCAGAATGAAGGACAGCTAAGACTCTGGCCTGAGAGCCTGAGTAAATGGTGGCACCCTTTATTAGGAATGAAAAAGACTCAGGGAGAAAAAGGTCTGGAGCAGATGTTGCAATGCAAAGGCAGAGTCTTGGAACTTCCCTGGCGGTCCAGTGGTTAAGATTCCACACTCCCAACGCAGAGGGCACAGGTTTGATCCCTGGTTGGGGGACTAAGATCCCACATGCCGCATGGTACGGCCTAAATAAAATGAAGAATCTTGTCTTAGACCCAAGTGAAGTGTGAGCTATGTATGACAAAACCAAGGGGAGACACAGTTTTAGATTTCTCCTGCTTTACACACCCTGTGCCAGGCATCATTCTAACCACCTATGTGTTTTATCTTAACCTGTAAAAACAACCTCATGAGATGGAGAGTGTTTTCAGCCCACTAAACAGATAGAAAGACAGAGGCTTAAGAGTTGGCCCAGCTAGCAGGCAGCAGCATCTCTGTATTTTAAACCCCTACACACTGCTGATGCCTCCATGATCTGAAACAAGCAGCTGAGACACATGAGACTTAGCCCAGTTTCCTCTTCTGAAGAATGGGGAGGTGGGCTTTTAAAACTCTCCCTTCCACTTCTGACACCCGAGAAGCCTCTATTTTTATTTTTTTTAATACGTATTTCTTTGGCCACCCGGGTCCTAGTGGCAGCAGGCAGGATCTTTGCTGTATCTTGGGGAATCTTTCATTGCAGCTTGCAGACTCAGTAGCTGAGGCAAACGAGGTTAGTTGCCCCTCTGCGTGGGGGATCTTAGTTCCCCAACCAGGGATGGAACCTGCATTCCCTGCGTTGAAAAGGGGACTCTTAAGCACTGGACCACCAGGGAAGTCCTAAAGAGCCTCCAGTTTTGAATCAGACCAGAAGCACTCTTGAGTCAGAGACCTCTCCTGACCCATGACCCGGATTGGTGGTGCCTGGCGAAGACATAACGGGAGGCAGACACCTACCAGCATCGGGCATTTCCTGGGACCACATCAGAGTCAGGCCAGGAGCTCCATCCACCACTGACGGCCCCACCCCTCCGAGACCTCTCAGAGCCCGGCCCTCGGGCTCCTAACCCAGTACAGGAAAGGTGGCAGCCTGCCAGCTTCCACCAGGTGACACATGCCCTCGGCCTCCAGCCGGCACCGCTCACTTGCAAGCCTGAGGCCGGAAACGGCATTACAAGAGCTCATGCGGCCACAGGGCCGGCCCCAGAAGGCCCCCTGGGGGTCCAGCACTGCCAGTATCAGCTGCTATCGCTCCAGCGGAGGAAGGGCCCGCGCGGGGGTGGCTGAAGCCTGAGCAAACTCGGCCCCGGGCTGGGGGCCCATGGAAGCCCGAAGGGACGTGCTGTTTTCTAAACCCCCGTGTTCTGGGGAAAGGGCCTGCTTCAGACGGCCCGGGGAGGTGGTGCGGGCGGGGCTACGGGTGGATGCCAGCCGTGGCCTTGGCATCGCCGAAGGAGGATTTTCAGGACGGCCCCAGTGAGGACAGGCAGGATGCAAGGCCGGGGGAGAAGGCAGCATTGGTGGAGGGACAGGAGGACACGAGAGAGATGCAGACAGACTAAGGGAGTGAGCGGGAAGAAAACGTCACGTGAGGAAGAGACACTGACCCAGCCACGCAGAGAGGGCGAGGACGGACACGAAGGCCTCTGAGCAGAAGGAGCAAGTCCCAGAACAAGGAGGGGAGCGGGCAGAGGGAGGGGCCTGTGGCTGAAGCGCCTACTGTGTGCTAATCGCACCGAGTAGGAACTCGTCACCTGGGGAGGTTAACAGTAACAGCAGCTACTTGCTCCGGGCACTTACTATGCGCCAAGCAAACTTAACAGGTTTGTCCTTCAAAATGGCTCTATAGGGTACACCATAATTCAACCTATTCCACAGATGAGGAAACTGAAGCAGAGAGGCAAAGTCGCGGAGCTAGAGAAACAATAAAGAACTCGGCTCTTAACCAAACACTATTGTAAAGAAGGGGTCTTATGAACCCCATTTTACAGAAGAGAAAACCGAGGCTCAGAGAGGTCAGACTGCTGGAGGAGGACAGTGACACGTTTCCCCACGCCCACACTGAACACCCCTCACTCACCCCGTGGAACAGTTCCTCACCACAACCTTAGGAGGCCAGCGGAATCAGACGAGGAAAACGAGGCTCAGGGAGACAGTAAGTGACAAGCCCAGAACCACGAAGGAAGGCGGAGGTGATGCTGAGAGTAAGGCCCAGATCTGGACCTCCCCTCAGCCCTAGCTTTTGCTAGATGAAAGAATAAAGAAGCCTCTGGCAAGTCACTATTTGATCCCTGAAACAACGTAGCAGGAAGAAGTTTCATTCAAAAAGGGCTGCACTGATCAGCTGCGACTGTCCTCGACCTCCTTGGCAAGGAAACTGAAAGGCAGGAATTCTCTTGGCCCACCAACCTACCCACCCACTCGTCCATCCAACCATCCACTCATGCCCCCTCCCCTCCGTCTCCTAACTTTCCCTCTCTCCACTCATTCATTCATCGCTCCATCAACTCAACCATCCAATCACCCAACCTCCCACACCAGGGACTAGCCACTCTGGCAACTACCAACCAATTATTCTTCAACACAGCCATCCAACAGACCATCTGTGCACTAATCTCTAAACCTCCACCATCCACTGAGCTTCCCAATTTGATGATCATCCAACCATCCATCCATCTACCCATTTACTTATAAAGGTCCCAACTCACCTTTCATCTAAACACACCTCTGCCAGTCCATTATGTCTTCATATCCATTCTCCAACGACCCAAACATAGATTCCCCCAACTGACTATCTATCCCTCCAGCCAGCCAGCTCCTAAATTCCAACCACTCACTCATTCATCTACTCACTCATCCATCCACCAATCAATTCATACACTCATCCACAAGCACTGCTCCCTGGCCTCCCTTCACCGACATCCATTAATCTCCCAAACTTCCAACTGTGCATCTACTCCTCCTCGCATCTGCCCACACATCCTACCAAACATCCATCCCCATCGGTCAGTCTACCGTTCATCCACCTGCCCACTCACTCTACAAAGTTTAAGAAGCTCCAATGAAAGATGCAAAAATGAGAAAGACACGATCTTTCCCTCAAAAAATGTAACAGGAGAAGGATCCCCTCCCCTCAAACCATCTATCTTTGGATCTTAGAATCACAGGATGTGAGTGCCACAAAAAAAATCTCCAAACTACCATGACCATCTCAATCTACACTGTCCACTACGGCGGCCACAGGCCACATGTGACTACTGAGCTTAAAGGATGCCTAGCACAAATTGAGATGTGCTGTAAGCACTAGATTTTGAAGCTTTAGTGTACATTCATTAAAAGAATGCAAAATACCTACTCAATCAATTTTTTAAACTGATTAGGTAGAATAATATTTGGGGATATACTGGGGTAAATAAAATGTATTATTTAAATTCATTCCACCTACCTCTTTTTGCTTTTCTAAATGCGGCTACTAGAAAATTTTAAGTATCCTATATTCCTGGAGAGTGCTGATCGAGAACAGAAAATTTTAAGCAACTTATATTCCTGAGAGTGCTGATCGAGAACAAATCCCTCAACTCAGAAGAGAAAAGGGAGGCCCGGAGAGGGAAATGACAAGCTGGTGTCAGCCCCAGGAGAAACTGTCAAGAGTGCAACCCGATCTCAGCCTCCTGACCCACCCCGGCAGCCCTGGCCCGGCCTCCAGCCACTCACCTGGATTTCCGCTTGCAATAGACAAGCAGGTTGTCGAAGAGGAAGAAAGCTCTCTCCTGGATGTTGCCTGCGGAGATTTTTAACAAAGTCCCTTGCAGGAGGAGCTGGGTGCAGATGTCCGTGAGGTTGGAGCCCTAGGAGAGCAACAGGGCGGGGGTGAAGGGCATGAGCTGGTGAATCCAGGGGAGCCCTTGGGAATACCCCTCTTTGTTCCCAGAGACAGACCTGTCCCTGACTCCCTCACAACCGCAAAATCTCAATGCACCACTGGAGGTGAACAGGCAGAAACCCAGTACCACCCAATCGATGGCTGCCCTCTGGTGCGTGCACCGGAATAATGCTGGCAGGAGCAGACAGAGACGACCGCCCCTCAGAGAGGGGGCCTAAGACTTGGCCCACACGGCCCATGCTATGCTTCGTTACAGGTTTTGCTGTGTTTTGTTTGGTTGGTTTTTTTGCCAATCCCCTCCCCGCTTACTTATTTGTGCTTGACTTGTTACTTTATCTCCTCCGCAAGACTGCCACCTCTGGGACTTCTCTGGTTTCCAGCAGCTAAGACACCAAGCTCCCCAGGCGGGGGGTCCAGGTTAGAGCCCTGGCACGGGAACTAGATTCCACACGCCACAACTAAGAGTTTGCATACCACACCTAAAGCTCCTGCGTGCTGCAACTAAGACTGAGAACAGCCAAATAAACACATAACTATTTTTTAAATATTGGCAGAATTCATTACATACATACAAAGAATGCCACTTTCATACAGACAGGAAACATTATCAAGCATCCATCAAGCATTTGCTACTGTACTTCTAGCACCTCCCACACACTGTGGCACACAGGAGATCAACAAACGCCTGCAGAACAAGCGACCAGCCCCAAGTGAACGCCATCAGGGGAAGGATTCCGAGAGCACCCCCTCTAGCTGGAGATGTGAGAAGAGATGGGAACGGTTCCTGAATTCTACCTGGTCATCTGTGCTAAATAACCAAGAGGCTGGTGTGTATGGGGTGCACTGAACCTTCGTGGGGCTCAAGCAGTGTGGTCAGGAAAGGCACTGGGGAGGCGTGGGGAGGACAGCGAAGATAATGAGGCTGAGGATACGGATGGGGCGAGGTCCCTGCTGGAGGGAGTCCTCGGAGCCAAGGACCACACAGTTCCATCTGGAGCTCTGAGGGGACCAGGGCAGGGGCAGAGAGATCTTACAGTGATAAGAGAGAGGAAGCGGGAAAGAGACCTTGGAGGGCATGGGCCCCTGGGGAGGAGGGGTTGCAGACCCAAGCTCCTCTTCCATCCTAGAAAGGCGGTTTCAGCTGGCACATGGCTGCCCAACCACAGACTCTACCTCTCAGCATCCCTCGCGCCAGGCGTGGTCCTGTGACGATATTCTGGCCAGCGTGCCCCACTTCAACATGCTTTTCTTGAGAGAAAACTGCCTCCCATTTCTCCCTTATCTCCCTTGCCTAGGCTGGAAGGTGGCCACAGACAGCAGACAATGGCACTGGAAGGGACCAGGGTCCAAGAGGAGCAGGGCTGCCCCACGCCCAGCCTGCATCACTGCTGAGAAATAAACCACTGGGTTGTTTGCTTTTGTTGCTGTTTTTGTTTTGGCTGCATTGCACGGCATGCCAGATTTCAGTTCCCTGACCAGGGATCAAACCTGTGCCCCCTGCAGTGGACGTGCAGAGCCCGAACCACTGGACTGCCAGGGAAATCCCAAGATTTTTATCTCACTTAAACTTATATCTCACTTAAACCATTATAGTCTCTCTTGCGTTAGAGCCTCCAACTTCAAGTGCTTGATGTACTTTAAACACATCAAGATAAGGATGGAGGCCCCATCCACAGGTGGGGCCTCAGACACTGAGGCCCAGGGGATATGACACGGTAAGTGTTTATTTTAGGGGAAATTCATTACGAACCTGCAGATCACACAGTAGCAAGAAACCAAGAGACAAGATGCTGTCCCTGCCTGGAAATGAACTGAGGGAGGAAAGAGCGGGGATTCTTCGCAGAATCTCCTTCCCCAAACACTCAGCACCCAGGAGCGACAAGGTGTTCATACCCCAGAGAGGCCTGCCATCTCAATTATTTCTGAGACCCAGCACTGCGAATTGGTTTTAGCAACTCAGAAATGAGACTGTCTGCTAACTGCCCACTGCAATTCCCTCCACTACTGTCAGAGTTGGTTTGCCTAGTGCACATGCGCCAGCTGGAAGCAGCAAATCCCTTCACCCGGTGGTGCCAGCCAGCCCCCTCGGGGTCTTGGGAAACCAGCTTCTTTGCAGTCAAGGGCTGTGCAGCCCGGGACACAAGCACATAGCCGTGCACAGAAATCGCCGCCTGGACACCTGTGTGCCACCGGCAGATACGCGCTGCCCACAGCACAGCAACCCAGCAAGGCCGTGTGCCTGCTGCTCCGAGGGCATGGGGGCAAAAGCGGCCCTTGGAGCCTCAGCAGCCGTGCACACAGGGAGAGCGCGACTCCCTGGTGATGAGACGCCGTCCGCAGCCCACAGCGCAGCTCAGAGCAGACGGCCACGCCACAGTTCCTGCGAGGCCCCGTGCTTCTGTCTCCTCCGCCCACCTCACTCGTGCCCGCCCACCCGTCCTTCCAGGCTCCAGAGGGGATTTGGGCTGCTTGCATGTGCTGCGCTTAGTCGCTCAGTCGTGTCCGGCTCTTTGCGACCCCATGGACTGTAGCTCGCCAAGCTCCTCTGTCCATGGGATTCTCCAGGCAAGAGTCCTGGAGTGGGTGGCCATGCCCTTCTCCAGGGGATCTTCCCGACGCAGGAATTGAACCCCGGTCTCCCACATCACAGGAGGATTCTTACACTCCAATGTATAGTATTTTAGAATAACTATCCTCAGAGTAAAGGGGACGCCCGGATTTATAAGATACAGAGCACCAGCTGACGCCAAAATGAAGGGAACCAGTGCTGTCCTGCCCGCTGCCCTTCAGGGTGGAAGGCTGCTGGCGCAGGAACCTCCCGCCGGGCCCGGCTGTAGGGCCCAAGAGCCCTAGACCAAGGCCAGGGGGCCGCAGAGAAGCACACCCAGCCTGGCACGTTGCCTCCCTGGCCTCGGCCAAGGACCACGCAGAAAACTGCATCTGAAGTGCCCAGGATGCTGCAGAGGAAGACGCTCCCGCCCCAGCCCTGCTGAGAAGCCCAGCCGACAGGCTCCCCGGAATCCTCGAGCCCAGGTCAGGGGTGGTGCTAAGGACCAGATACACACGAAGAGGCTGAACACCGCGGTGTCCGCCGGTCAGGGCTGCAGGCCTCCTTCAGACAGAGCAGAAGTGAAGTGATGTGCAGAGAAGAGGGCGAAAGCTAACGCAGGCGCAGGGCTTACCACCCGCCAGCTCCGGTTCTAAGTATCTCACAGAACTCCATTCACCCTTACAGCTCTCATTCTACAGAAACGGAGGTTCACTTTAGGAAACAAAGGCACAGGAGAGCAAGTGACTCGTTCAAGGTCATACAGCCAGTCCGGCTTCCCTGATAGCTTAGTTGGTAAAAAAAAATCCGCCTGCAATGCAAGAGACCCCGGTTCGATTCCCGGGTCAGGAAGATCCCCTGGAGAAGGGATAGGCTACCCACTCCAGTATTCTTGGGCTTCCCTGGTGACTCAGGGAAAGAATGAGCTGGGAAAGAATCCACCTGCGTTGTGGGAGACCTGGGTTCGATCCCTGGATCGGCAAGATCCCCTGGAGAAGGAAAAGGCTACCCACTCCAGTATTGTGGCCTGGAGAATTCCATGGACTGTATAGTCCCTGGGGTCACAAAGAGTCGGACACGACTGAGCAACTTTCACAACGATGACACAGCTAGTCAGTGGATGAGGTGCGACCTGAGCCCAGACAGGCGGCCCTACCGCCCTACCCACTCACCTCTGCCACCTGTGCCCCTCCTGGACGGGGACCCGAAGCGTTTTTGATGCATTTGTCAGCCTGGAGCAGGGGTCTTCAGGAGGGCAAGAGCACAAGGCATCCCAGAGAGGGTGGGAAGAACATACAAGAACTTCTACTTAGGTAGAAGTCCCTCCTTTTAATGACTTTATGTTTTCCTCACGCTTCTTTCCCGCTGTCCCTTTTTGGGGGAGTGAGCAGTGGACAGTCTCTTAAACCAGGGCTTCCAGAGCCAGCAAGAGTGGTGTGTTCTCTCTTTTTCTTACTAAGACCATGCATGTCTTTTTACGACCATGAGCTTCTCACGGAAGTCTGTGGAGCATCCCTTTGCAGGAGGGTCAGCCCACACTGGTACGAGCCCCGCCAAAGTTGCATGATGCTTTCTTATCTAAAAAAATCAAACAAGAAATCCTGCTTTGCAGCCACAGCTCTTCCTGACCTTTATGGAGTATTTACTCGGAACCAATAAAAAAAAAAAAAACACTGTTCTGAGCGCTTTGCATTCATCTAATCCCCGAACCCTCAAGTGACCCGTGTGGCCTCCTGCCACTATCCAAACTTATCAGATAAGGAAACTGAGGCAAAGGTACCCTCCAAGCAGAGGGGGTGGGCCCAGACACTTACTTCCACACTCTTGTGACATACTCCCATTTCCTGGCGCTCAATAAAATGGATTTATGGGTTACCATATCTGGTTCTAACTAAACCAGTCCCGCAACTAAAAAGGACAATTGGCTTATAGAGGATCAGGCTAAAAAAAAAACCACAGATCCGAGATCAAACTAATGATGCAAGCCTGAGCACACAGCAAGAGAGTGGCCAAGACAAGATCAACCTCCTCCGGAAACAAGTCCCTTGCCAGCCATATTCTGAGAGAGAAGACAGCTATCTAATCAGATTGGCAAGAGGTCAAACAGACTAGAAAGTATCAAGAAGAGAATCAGAAATCAGGACCTGCAACCACCTTTGTTCACTGTGAACGCCACCCTAAGTCATCCTGTGCCCAGAGGTGCTAACTGCTGATGGCATGCAGTTATTGCAAGCAGCTTCACAGTTAAACATTACTTGTTCTAGCTGGAACATACCATTTTCCCAAGTCCACCCTGAGGATCAAACTTGAAAACCTTTCTACTATAGAGAAAACTATGTCACATTTTCCTAAAATCATCTGTGTTCTATGCTCACTTTATTGACAAAATGACACAGAAGACTACTTCAGAGATACTGTTTCTGAAATTAGACAAGTAAAAGTGAAAGTGTAGTCGCTCAGTCGTGTCTGACTCTCTGTGACCCCATGGACTACAGTCCACCAGGCTCCTCTGTCCATGGAATGCTCTAGGCCAAGAATACTGGAGTGGATTCCCATTTCCTTCTCCAAGGAATCTTCCTGACCCAGGGATCAAACCTGGGTCTCCTGCATTGCGGGCAGATTCTTTACTGACTGAACACAAGGGAAGCCCGAAATTAGACAAGTAGGGGGAAATGAGGCCAGGAGAATAAGACAGGCTTGCTTAAGGCAGGATCATCTGTAAGTTAAAAGGCTGGACCCAAGGTCAAGAGCCTGCACCTCAGTCTTCCACTCTGTAAAATGGGGATAGCAACAGCCCTCTCTTCCAGTGTTGGAATAATGTGTAACACGTGCTCAATAACTGCCAGCAACTCTTACTCTGGGTCACTTTATTTCCTACTGCACCCAGCAACACTGATCAAAATAAGGGCCATTCTCAAATTACAGATTTTTCAGAGTCAAAAGAGCCTCAAAGACCCTTAGTTCCTATTTCCCTAGGCATTTACCAGAAGGCATCTGGAAATCACTTCTGGTCTGGCTGCCAAACTGCTTGCTTAATGCTCTCCTCACAGGGCCCCACATGAGAAATTTTCTTTCTAGCTGATGTCAAGAATTCTGTCTCCCAGAAGGATTGCCCAGCTTCTTCCTTTTTTGACAAATGAATGCTAAGTAACTTATGTGTCTTGCTCTTTTTACCTTGGCTGCCAGGAAGCTCAAAGCCTGAACAGACAGATGCTTAAACATGTCCACTGTATAAACACTTCAGGTTAGCATATTTGGTGAAAAGAGCCAAGTGACCAACTTCTGGCCAGTGAGATGGAAAAGGAAGTCCCTCCGGGGCTTCTGGGAAATGTTTTCCTCCACAAGGGAGGAGAACTGAGTCCCATCTTCTCCTGATTTGTGTCAGATGATACCTGGAGCTGCGCCATCATGGAACCACAGAGGGTCACAAGAAACCGAATCAGAGCTCTGGCATCATGAAGGTGAAACGAGATTCCTTAGAGGAAACACCCTAACTGACACAATTTTCAGTTGTAGGAACAGAAACCAAGCTAAGCATTTTAAGCAGAAAAAAATGAGGGCCTTACTCAATTCTTGGAGGGGCTAGAGCAGCCTAGAATCACAGCTGCCAGAAAGCCAAGAACACTGCGGAACTAGCCCTCCAGGGGAAACAGTGCCCCTGCCCCAAATGGGAAAAGGGACAATCAGACCCCCGCCTGCACAAGCTGGTATGCATGCTCGGTCACTTCAGTCGTGTCTGCCTCTTCGCAACCCCACAGCCTGTACAGCCCACCAGGCTTCTCTGTCCCTGGGAGTCTCCAGTTAAGAACACTGGAGTGGGTTGCCATGTCCTCCTCCAGGGGATCGTCCCAACCCAGGGATCGAACCCACACCTCCTACACTGCAGGTGGATTCTTTACTGTCGAGCCAATGGGAAAGCCCGCCCAAGCTGGTACTCTCAGGAAATGCTGCCCAAGCTGCTGCTGCCAGGCTTCAGGTGATGTAGCCTTAACTGTCAGCTACAAAGCCACCCCGTCCTGCCAGATACACACCACCGACCACGCAACAGAGCCCTTCCCCTTGACACCCAGCAGCTGGAACCTGGGCCCTCTGCAAATGCTATCACAGACAGCCAACGCAACCACAATTGCGCTTTGCTGCAAGAGCAGGAGGGTGAGCTCTGTCCCAACCCTGCCTTCCAAATCTCACGCAGAGGGACCTGATCTTGGCCGATCCCATCCCATCTCAGGGAGTCTGAGAAATGCAGTTATTTGTTCTCCAGCCTCAGCTGGGCAGGAAGGAGGGTGGGCACAAGATAAACACTAATGCACAACCACCCACCTCCTTCCTGAAGACGGGCCTCTCCCCTCGGCAGCCACACCCTCGGCCTCCCGCGATCCCGTCTCATTTAGGACTCCCCAACACAGGGACAGTGCTCCAGGGGGCCCAAGTGGTAAAGACTGCCTGCTAATGCAGGAAACACAAGAGGCGTGGGCTCAGTCCCTGGGTGGGAAGGTTCCCTGGAGGAGGCAATGGCAACCCACTCCAGTATCCTTGAATGAAAAGTTCCATGGACAGAGGAACCTGGCAGGCTGCAGCCCACGCGGTCACGAAGAGTCGGATCCGACTGAGCGACAGAACACACACACACACACACAACACGGGGAGATGAAGTGGAAATCCCAAATGAAGCAAGCGCCAGAAAATCCAAACGGTCTAAGGCAGACGATTCAGAGAAAAATCTATGCCCAAGAGTCTTTCCCCTTTAGTCTCACTCTCCCATTCCAGCTGTACTTACTCAGACATTACCTTTTTTATTTATTCAGATTTTCCCATTTCCTTCTACAGATTTTCAGGAAAGCTCTAATAATTTAAGGAAGCCACAAACAGAGGAGATCAAGAATCCCATCCCCTGATAATCATGACCACAGTACCATCCATGTGCTTCTACTAAGTCGCTCTCCGTTGTGTCTGACTCTCGGTAAGCCCCTGGACCACAGCCCACTGGGCTCCTCTGCCCACAGGACTCTCTAGGCAAGAATACTGGAATGGGTTGCCATGCCCTCCTCCAGGGCATCGTCCCTACCCGGAGATCAAACCCGTGTCGCCTGCATCTTTTGCATTGCAGGCATACTCTTCCCCACTGAGCCACCAAGGAAGCCTAGTAACAGCCATACCTACCATTCATTGAGTACCTACTATGTACAGGTATAGATAAGGAAAGCATGGTTCAGAGAAGTTAAGACATTTGCCTAAAGCCACCGTAAAAGAGTGCTAAAGCCAGAATTCTGTCCTGGAGTGAACCCTTAAACACGACCCTTGACCTTGGCATTCAAAGGACACCAGGCGGGTCAGGAAAGGAGAGTGAAGGAGAGTGATGGGGGGTGGGGTAGGGAGAAAAACTAAAGGCTCCAATGGCTGATGCCGTGCAAAATGGGGCCCCAGGGTTACCAATTTTTTAAGAGAAACTTGAAATCTATACTTTTATGTGGACCTCACTGAAAAATAATTAAACTTTTTTTTTTGCAAGCAACATGTAGGCCAAATAAAATATGCCGTAGGCCAAAGCCGGTGCCCAGACGGCAGTGTGAACCCACAGCTGTGCACTCCCCCAGCCCGGGTCTGTCTCCAGCCCAGAAGGTTGCTCCTGCCCCAGACACACCTCCCAGCCTTCGATGTGTGACTGCAGCTGCTCCAGGGCCTCTAGCTTCTCCATCTGCCGCTTGGTCTCATTGATGTTGGAGCAGACGGTCTTCATGGCCTGCAGGGCGCTCTGGACCGCGGGGTGGTCGGGGTGCTTGCCAGGGGTCCTCTTGGCCAGTTCCTAGGTTAGAGGAGAGGGCAGGGGTGAGCGACATCAACCCAGAGGGCACCAAACGGCCTCCAGGTCACCCAGGTCTGAGCCAAGTCCCAACTCTGCTCTGAACAGACTGGGACCTGGAGCTGGGGAACCTCATTCATTCATTCACACATTCAGTAAACGTCCCCTCAGCAGCTCCTCCAAAACAGACAGCGTTCTGGGGGATACATTGGTTAATAAACTAGAAAAATTCTTCACCTGGTGGATACTGCCTGCGTGCATGCTCGGTCGCTTCAGTCGTGTCGGACTCTTTGCGACCCCATGGGCTGCAGCCCACCAGGCTGCTCTGCCCACGGGATTCTCCAGACAAGGGTACCAGAGTGGGCCGCCACGCCCTCCTCTGGGGATCTTCCCGACCAGGGCTCAAACCCATGTCTCCTGCATCTCCTGCACGGCAGGAGGAGCCTTACCCACCGAGTCACCTGGGAAGCCCCGGGAGGATATTACATTCTAATAAAGAAGATGGGCTTAAAAAAATCGAGTACATAACATAAGACTAGACAACTATTATGAAGACACATCAGAACAAGGGGCTACAAGGTCTTGGGCAAGGTGGTGGTCTTTCAAAAAAGGAGGGCAGGGAAGGTCCCTCTGAGGGGCTGACATCTGAGCAGAGTGCGGACAAAGCCAAGGAGTGACTCCTGCAAAAATCTGGGGGAAGGGCATGCCTGGCAGCAGGAACAGCAAATGCAAAGGTGCAGAGTGGGAGCGCGTGGGGAGTGAAAGGGAAACATCCCGGAGGCAGTGTGGCTGGAGGAGAGGAAACGAGAGAGAGGAGAAAGAGAGCGAGTCAGAGGCGGAGTCTGGTAGGTCACAGAGGCAGTCACAGACACTGCCCCTCCCCGGCCCCCAGCTTTCTCATCTGTAAAATGGGTATAAAGAACACCTTGGGGACTTCCCTGGTGGTCCAGCAGTTGAGCCCTCCAGGGTACAGGTTCGATCCCTGGTTGGGGAGCTAAGATTCCTGGCCAAACCAGAACATAAACAACAGAAGTAATGTTGTAACAATTTCAATAAAGTGTTTAAAAATGGTGCACTGTCAAAAAAAAAAAAAAAAAAAAGAACCGCTGGCCTTCACAGGACGTGGAGAAAAGATATAAAGAGGCCAATCAGGAGCCTGGATCTCCCAGCCACCCCCCCCACCATTTCTCACTCTCCTCTCCCATCTTACCACATCACAGGCTGGGACATTCCAGAGGACAGGTGAGTCTTAATCCAGGAGTTTCAGCCCCATAGGAAGTGTGATAAGGAACCGAGACGCAGAGACTAGCCAGGCCTCGAGATACCAGAGGAGATTTTCAGGCCGCACCGCCTAACCGACAGGACCGGCTGGCAGAGATAATTTTCTCTAATCAGCTGGCCTCAGCGTGCCCAAATGTTTCAGTATCTCTCCATCTCTCTACTCTCTCAAAAATCACAGATATGACGCTCCAGCCAATTGGTTCCCAGCACAGCCACAGGTGGGCTCCAGGCCTGCTTCCGCCCCTGGGCAGCTGGGTGACCTTGGCCCAGATGCCCTCCACCCTGAGCTGCAGGTTTATCATCTGAAAACCAGTGATGGGACTTCCCTGTGCTCCAGGGGTTAAGACTCCGTGCTCCCAACGCTGGGGGCCCAGGTTTGAGCCCTGGTCAGGAAACTAGATCCCACATGCCTCAACTAAGAGTTTGCAAGCTGCAACTAAAGATCTCATCTGCTGCAACAAAGATCAAAGATAGCACATGCCACAACTAAGGCCTGACACAGCTAAATAAATAAATTTTAAGAAAAGAAAAGAAAACCAGTGATGAGAAGGAAGATGGTGACGATGGCTGCAAGCAGCAGTCAATGCCTCTACCCTGTGCCTGTAGGTTCTGTTATTATCCCATTTAACAGATGAGGAGACGGAGGCTCAGCGGGAAGGACCAAGGCCTCTGAGAAGTAAGAGACGGAACCTGGATCTGAACCTGGCCATCTGGTTCTGCTCATGGTCATCTGTTGTTGTTGTTCAGTGGCTGTCATGACCAACTGTTTGTGACCCCATGGATGGCAACATGCCAGGCCCCCTGTCCTTCACTATCTCCTAGAGTTTGCTCACACTCATGTTCATTGAGTCTATCGTGAGTGAGTGAGTGAGTGAGTGAAGTCGCTCAGTCATGTCTGACTCTTTGCAAACTCATGGACTGTCAGTCCATGGAATTCTCCAGGCCAGAATACTGGAGTGGGTAGCGTTTCCCTTCTCCAGGGGATCTTCCAAAGCCAGGGATGGAACCCAGGTCTCTGCATTACAGGTAGATTCTTTACCAGCTGAGCCACTGGGGAAGCCCAAGAATACTGCAGTGGGTACCCTAGCCCTTCTCCAGGGGATCTTCCCGACCCAGGGATCGAACCCAGGTCTCCTGCATTGCAGGCAGGTTCTTTACCAGCTGAGCCACAGGGAAGCCCCTGGTGAGGGGTAAATCAGACACCGTGGGGAAAGCCACCCGGCTGGGGAAGGACAGCCTCGGTGAGCACTGAGTCTCGGCTGGCCAGGATCAGGCCTGTCCGCAGGACAGGATGCGTGAGCTGAGCCCGCAAGCAGAAAAGGGCCTGCCGGGCGTCAGGTGCATTCACAGCGTACCCTGCGGTGCACCAGCTTCAAACACGGCCCTCGTCTAGCCACGTTTATCTCTTCTCTGCCGGAACAGGAGCAGATCCTAACGGTGCCGAGGTCCATTTGTTCTGTAACCTCAGACCCTGGGGGGTTTCTGAGCGCCTGCCTTGGGCCAGGGACAGGCCAGCGGGGAAGCAAAAGAGGGAGATGGAGCCCTCTCTCTGTAGGCAAGTGAGCTGGGAAAGGTGCTCCAGGGAAGAGGGGGAGGGGAGGGGGAGGGGAGGGGCCGGGAGGGGAGGGGAGGGGAGGGGAGGGGAGGGGAGGGGAGGGGAGGGGCCGGGAGGGGAAGAAGCGGCCCAGACAACAGCCCCAAGTGGTGAAAGGGCCTGTGATAAATCAGAGAAGGGGAAGGACAGTGTGGGCCGGAAAGCCTTCAAGGAGGAAGTGAGGCAAAGGCAGGCCAGTCACTGAGTATTGAGCTCTTTGCACTGGGTTGGCCAAAATGTTTGTTTGGGTTTTAATAGCGTGCAGGAAAACCCGAACAAGCTTTTTGGCCAGCCCTACACAGGGGACGTATTTCCATTGGTTCCCAAACTCAACAGAGACTGAGCCCAAGACAGCCCTCCGGGAGCTCACAAGAAAAGGAGAACAGTCCACAAGTTGAGTGTTAACCACTGACAGTAATAACAAGAGCTAACACTCGGGGAGGGTGTATATTCTTGTCAGGCTCCCGGAACCCTCACACCAGCCCCGTGAGATGGTTCCTGTTTTTACCCTCATTTGACACATGTGAGGACTGAAGCCCAGAGAGGTCAAGTCATCTGCCTGAGGTCACAGAGCAGATTGGAGCCTAACCAGTCTAGCTCTGGGGTCAATGCTCTGAACCGCTATACTGTTTTATAACTTTTCTGAGAGTTAAACAGGAACACTTTCCTCTCTAATAAATGTGTAAGTTATATGATGGATAAGTGATAAGTGAAAAATGAGGACAGACAATGAGGGAGGTGCAAAGGCCTGTCTCTGAGGAGCTGGGCCTCCAGAGGGAGACCTGAGCGAAGTGAGGGCATGGGTCATGTAAAAATGTGAGGGAATGAGAGGAGCGCAAGCAAAGGCCCTGAGGCAGCAAGAAACAGCCAGGAGGCCAGAGAGGCTGCAGCAGAGTGAGAAAGAAAACGATGTGTGATGAGGTTGGAGGTACGCGCTAAACACATCAGGGAAGGCTGGGGTGTGCTTTTCAGGTTCATCCCATGAGCCTCGGGGAAGCAATGGGCGGAGGGGGGCGGGAACGAGCTGAGGCCTAACAACACCCAATTTATTTAGCCTTAACAGAATCCGTCTGACTGCCAAGTGGAAGATGCACCGGCGAGAACATAAAATGAACGTAAAAGCCAGAAGACTGGCTAGCGGCTACTGGTCCAGGCAAGAGATGCTCAAGACACGAACCAGGAAACCCGGGTCCTCCTGTGATGGGTTTCCTGAGGGGCTGCCAACACCCAGTAGCTAGTAAAAATGAGAGAAAGGTTAGTCCCCTTTTCTGTCTATCTGTCCTGCCCCAGATCGGTGCTGGGCATAGAGAACTGAAACTCCAGGCTCCTCGCTGGACCAAAACTGAAGGAAAAGTGTTAGTTTTGCTTTCTTGGCTCACAAGGGAGTGTGGGCTCCACTCTGCCCAGCTACAAACTCCAGGTCTGTTCCGGCCCCTGGACCTTTGCACACACTTTGCCCTTTACTTGCATTCTATCTCCAAACTGTAAGAAGTGGGACTGCACTGGCACACGGACAGGTATATAGATCAATGGAAAAGAACTGAGAGTCCAGAAATAAATCCTTACATTTCTGGTCAGTAAATTTTTAATAGTGTTAAGACAATTAAATGGGGAAAGAACAGTCTTTTCAACAAATGCTAGCGGGAAACTGGGTATCCACATACAAAAAAAATAAAGTTGGACTCCTTCTCACACTGTATACAAAAATTAACTCCAAGTGGATCATAGACCTAAAAGTAAGAGCTGAAACTATAAAACAGTTAGAAAAAAACATAGGTATAAATCTTTGTGACCTTGGGGTAGGCAAAGCATTATTAGATATGACACCAGATGTATAGGCAACTAAAAGAAATTAGATTAACTGGACTTTAGCAAAATTAAAAACATTGTGCTTCAAAGACTATAAAGAAAGAGAAAAGACAATCTACAGAATGTGTAAATTATTAATACATATCGAACAAGGGACTTACATATACAAGGGACAGTATATACAAAAAAACTTTTACAACTTAATAAAAAGACAAATAGCTCAATTCTTTTTTTAAAAAAAGCAAAAGGTTTAAATAGACATTTCTCAAAGACAATACACCAATGGCCAAAAAACTCATGAAAAGAGGCTCAATATCAT